TTTGCTCTTGTAATTCCTAATATTACTGATTGAGCTATTGATTTTAACACAATTTGTCCTCTAAGCTATTATTTTTATATAAATTTATCCTCCAATTTTTTTAAATATCAGGGCAAGTTGAAACAAAATAAATAATATCTAAGAGACATTTATGAAACTAATAAGTTAATACAATATTTTTTTAAATGACTTTACATAGTACGTGAAATGAACTCTTTGAAAAAAATCATAAAACATATCCAACTAGGATACATAGTTTGGGCCCGTTTAGTTCGCTAATTTGAGTTTTTAATTCGAGTTGAGAAGTGATTTTATGTTAGAGTTTTTTTCTGTAATAAAAAAGTTAGATGTGACTGTTTCTGAGAGTTTTTTACTGTAGTAAAACTCGAATTATAAACTCAAATCGATAAAATGAACGATGTCAGTAACATTTATAAAGTTAATCCGTGCATTATTATACATATGTTTGTTAAAAAAAACAAAACTAAAGAAGAAGAAGAAGAAATGTTGTGACGAAAAAAGTAGACGAATTCAGTTTCATCATTTTCAATTTATCGAATAATGTAATTATCAACAAAGTACGTTTTTCTTTTACTTTTGGGTTTGAAATTACAAAACTAACATTTTACTTGGTTTGGTTCCACCAAGTTTTTCTTTTTTTTGTTTGTACCAACGCAAACTGCTCAATTTCATTCCCCGCTAACCGGAAATTACTTTTTGCTTTTGTGTTTCAAACAAAAAACAATAACTACCTTTTGCTTTTATTTTACAAATAAAAAACAAAAAACACGTTTGGTAACGTTCATAATGGTCGGCAGCGACACGTTTAGTAATTAATTTTGTTTAGGTGAATGGCCGAACTTTATTTTAGATAAATTGATTTTTTACATTAGTTAATTAATTATATACCAATGGTTTATCATTGATTTATCAATAGTTTATCACAAATAAATTTGTAAATTATTGATTTAAATTATTTAATCATTAGTTGAGATTGGTTAATAAGTGATAAACCACAAATCAATACATTATTGATTAACCATTTCCATATATGATATATTTGTCTTTTTCTAATTTAACAAAATTTAGATAATTTATTAAAAAATGCTTAAAAAAACAATTTACTTTCAAATATCCAAAAATAAAAACAAAATGACACCGTGCGAGAAAAAACAATTTTGCTAAATGTACAACGAGGGGGAAGGACTTTTCAATGACCACTAAAAAAATAATACATGTTATATGAAAATGGAACGAAAAAAAATCCAAAAAATACCCTTTAGTTTTAACTAAGTATTTGGTATGAAGATTTGTGTCATGATTCGTGGCTCGCTACAGTATTTTCTCTCACAAAAAACGTACGTAAACCAAGAATGATTCTGAATCCATGAACCAAACGTCCACAAATTTCATGTGGCTCGTTACAGTGTTTTCTCTCACAAAAAACGCACGTAAACCAAGAATGATTCTAAATCTATGAATCAAACGTTCACAAATTTCATGTTTGCCTTTATGTGTTCGTTAAACCATCTCAAAATTATGAGCACTTTACAGAAACACCACAGGTTTTAAGTTTAGATTGACATGTATTAGTAGACATAAATTATTGTAAACAATGCTACAATCAAAACTACTTAAAAATTAAAAAATCTATAAAAATCATAAATATATGCTTGAAAAACCACAAATTCTCACAAAATCTAATGATATCGAATCAAATACAAAAAAGTACAAGCAAAATTTTATTCACTACACAAAATTTAAATCATATCACTGTGGTATATTTTGTAATAATTTTAGTACTCATAATAAAAGTCAATCCAACCTTAAAGACTAGGTTATAGTGCCTAAATATCTCTTAAAAATTATCCCTTAAGTTTTCAAAAGAACAGAAAAAGCCCATTAACCGGTTAAATTATAAAAAATAACATAAATAACCTTAACAATCAATATAAAAATATTATTTTTGAAATATTAATAACTAAGAATTAGATTTAGATAAAAACTTAAAAATTTCAATAAAATAAATCTATTAAAAAATCCAAATTTTACCATGTGAAATTGATCCAACGCAAGACAAAATCTTACATCATTGTCATCCACAGAGGACTAGTCGTATTTAAGAATTAGATTTTGATAAAAACTTAAACATTTCAATAAAATAAATCTATTAAAAAATCCAAATTTTGCCATGTCAAATTGATCCAACGCAAGACATAATCTTACGCCATTGTCATCCACAAAACTAGTCGTATTTTCACTTGTCAGATTGATCCTACCCCATACTACATTATGCTCCATGATCTTCCAAACCCACTGGTTCTTTTTTTTTTTCCCCCTTGGTTTTATTTAGCTTTGGTTTATTAAAAAAAATCTTAAGTGCCTAAGACCACTTGATCTAATGACACTGGGGTTTGGGTGAGGTAGGATTGGGTTGAGAGGTTGCAAGTTCACACTCGTATTATATATATATATATATATATATATATATATATATATATATATATATATATATATATATATATATATATATATATATATATATATATATATATATATATATATATATATATATATATATATATATATATATATATATATATATATATATATATATATATATATATATATATATATATATATATATATATATATATATATATATATATATATATATATATATATATATATATATATATATATATATATATATATATATATATATATATATATATATATATATATATATATATAATTATATAATTAAGGACAAATAATATTTAAATACTAATTATTTAAGTGTTTTAAAATTTAAAAACTTTGATCAGTTTTATTTATTTTTAAGTATTTTGAAAAACGTAGAGTCGAAATAGTTTCAAAATATAAGGAATACTTTTTGATTAGCAAGAGAGTGGCTCTATGCACACACCACTTTTTACTCTTCTTATTCTCTTTTAAATTAAAATTTCTTATTACAATAAAACCCTCACAAAAAATAGTAAAAAAAGGACACCTGACAATTAAAAAAAAAATTAAATTATACTTAAGAAGGAAACTAATGATAGAGTTTTTTTTCCTCTCCTCACAACCCACGTCATATTCCCAAATTATAAATTATTTCTATTTTAAAATTTATGTCAAAACCCTAATTTTCAACTTTTAGTTTACGGATTAGAACTATGTTGGTGAGATCGTCAAAGAATCAAAGGGGTCGTCCCTTTTTTTGCTGAAAATTTTGTTTTAGCATTCTTCTTTGTGTTGATTTGTTTGTTTTAAAATTTTTGTTTTCATTTAGATTAGACTTTCTTCAGCATTTCTATTTTCCTTTTAAAGGGTATTTTAGACATTTCAAATGTTAAAGTAGAGTGTTAACTGATTAAATGTATGAATTTGTATATTTAATGTAATGTAATGGTATAAGATTAAAAATCAAAGTATATTTTATGAATAAATCTTAAATCTTTTAGCTACATACTAAAGGAGAATCCATTTTTCGGATTCTCCTCCCCCACTAACGAATGTTTCGTTAGTGGGTTTTTTTTCCTCACCTTTTTCTTTTAGCTTTTCACTCCCTCCCCCCTCTCTTTTTAAACTTTCCATTTCTTTTTATGTTTTATTTCTTTTTTTATTTCTTTTTTCCTTTCTTTTTTTATCACCATTTTCATGTTTATCTTTTTTTACCCCATTATACATTTTATTTTTTTTCCTTTCTTCAAATTATTTTTCTCTATAATTCTTCATTAAAATAATTTATTTTTATATATATCTCTGTCTAAGGGGACGTTTGTTTCCTATATCCGTCCCTGATTCTGAATCATGATTCATAGTTCTCTACAGTATTTTTTCTCACAAAAAATACACGTAAAGCGAGAATAGTTCTGAATCATGATTCTGAATACATAAATTAAACGCTCTCTAAGTGTTTTTTTAAAACCCTCTTCTCCTACTATTGACGAAATGATTCGTCCCAGGCCTATATTTTTTTTTGTTTTTTTGTTTCGTTTTTGTTTTTCTTGTCCTTCATTATTCTTTATTCTTTCGGCCTTCATTTTTTTTTCTCTCTTTTTTTATTCTTTTTTGTTGATTTCCCTATTTTTTACTACATTACTAAGGAAAAATAAGTTTTTCCATTGATATTTGCAAAACATTTCGTACACGAGAGGTATATGCAAATGTTTCGTAAAAGATTTCTTTCCCCTTGCTCAAGCGAAATTTTTTTAAATTTTTTGGGATTTTCTTTTTTGAATTTTAGGTTTTTTTTCCCTTTACTTTTTGCTTTAAATCGTTTTCCCTTTTAGTTTTTTTTTCCTCTTTTTTTAAAGAAAAAAAATTTGTATACCTCGAGCGGTTTTTGATTAGTATATATAAGGTATAAAAAGATAAATATCCTTAAAAGATATGATTAATTATAAAAATTCTCTTTAAATTATATCTTTTATAATACTTTGTCCCTAAATCTTTAAAACTTGACATTTATTTTTTCTAAACAATAAAACATTAATAAAATCACCCTAAATCTTTAAAATCTGACATTTATTTTTCCTAAACAATAAAACATTAATAAAATCACCCATCCGTTAAGAAATCTAATAGCTTTTATAAGTATTGCATCTATAATAGTTGTAAAAAATAAAAATTCCTTATTTTTCATTTGGTTATTTTTATCGTAAAAAATATTAAAAAAAACTTCATAATTTTTTTATCATACCAAAAAAAATCATAAAATGTTTACTTATATTTAATTAATAATAAGTGTTTCATATTTAAAAGTATAAATTTAAATTAGTTTTAATTTTAAATTAAATTTTAAATCATATAATTACAAAAATACTTTTAAAATAATAAATTTAATATTAATTTTCGTTAAAAATTTAATAAAATAAGGTTTTTATTAATATTTTATTATTTAAGAGTAACATCGGATGAGAAAATTTTCGTAATTAATCTCAAAAGATATATGTCCTCCAATAAGATTCACTTTAAACACTGTTTGTGAGAAACTGGGAATCAATAGGATTATCGACGGAAAGAAATGCCGGTGAGAGTTGTGGAGAGCTCTGCACCTTCTCAGGTTTCTGGTAACCTCTTCTCTTTCCAATTCCATAACTATTCGCCTTAACAATCAAAATCCTTTTCCCAATCACCCTTTCTACTTGGGATTATTTCTGTTTTCTCTTTTCTCCACTAGTTAGCCTTTCATGGTTCGCTACTGACTTTCTTCAGTGAGGACTTACCGATCACTCCATTGGAACTTCGACTGATTCTGCCACAGACCAAATCCCGTGCCAAGTGGCTCAATAGACTCTCTCTTTACCTTCCCCATCTGACCCACTCCTCCTTCTGCGAATCAGTGGCTTCCTTCCTTGAGATATCGCCCATCGCCTGAGATGGAGCCTAGCTTTCTGACTGGGCTGATACGAGATTGTTTATCTCTTCTGCCATTTTCTCGAAATTTCATTTTGTTTTCTCACCCAATTTTACTGAAATAACCAGATCATGATTCAATTTTTTTTTTTGGTGTTTAATTTTATCCATTATAATTCCTTTTGAATGTTATTATTATGTTGCTAAATTTGGTATTTTACATCTCAGAAGGTGCAAATTCTGAACATACGTCACCCCAGGCTTGTACCCTTTTGAGTGTTGGACAGGTAAATTTTTTATCTCTACTATCTTCTTTACTTAATTTTGTATGTGGGTATTGTCAAAATCTTGTGCTTGTAGTTGCTAGTGATGTTGATTTATATAAGGTCTGCATATACTCTTATGGTTAGTTGCTTAATTGTTGATGACATAAAAGAGTTTACGCTTGATAGTTTACTGCTTTTGATCTTGATTTTATCCGTGAATCACAATATAGCATTGTGAATTATCCAGTGTTTTGCAATTGGAGATTTGCAAACAGTGAAAACATTTGCAAACAATCAATAATTTGGACAAAAAAGAAGCTGCACGAATCGCGACAAAGCATTGTGTATCATAAACATAAGACACATGTTAGTCGAATGTTTTGAAATTGAAGATTTCTTGTGTATACCAATTTGACTTTTCTATGTTTGAGGAGTGCCACAAAATTAAAGCAAAGTGAAAAATCTTTATGAAGAATCAAGAATTTGGAGAAAAAAGAGGCTGCACATTGAGATAACTACAAGTAAAATTTATTTGGGCGATCCATACTTTTTTTTTTTTTTTGCTAAACTGTCTAGGTTATCCATTAATATTCAAATTTCTTTCATTCTCCCTTTCCTTCTCGTTCACTCGTTTGTTTAAGTTTGTAGCTTGAGTTTTTGTGAGTTCGGCCACTTAGCATAGTATGAAAGTGCTAAGGCCGCATGGATTAGTATGCCATCTGCTAGCTAAAATCGTCGAGTCTTGCTCTCATTAATTAAAGCAACAATGTTCTTGGCATGTGGCTAAAGTTATACTCCTTAATTTTTATATATGTGGTTTATTACCCCTGTCTTTCACCACAGTTTGTATGAACATCAAATTGTATGTTGCTAGTACATGAAAGATGGAGATGTGACAATTTCGTTCTTTACATTGTTAGATACTTTAAAGCTTTTATTTGGTAAACGTGATATTGAATATCAGTTTTAAAACAAAATGTTAGTCTTACTATTTAGTACATTGGCTGCAACAGCTTGTTTAAGGGTAAGAATCGTCACTCGAGAATATCGCTTCTTTGTTTTGAGGTGGAGAGGCGAGCCCTGTTCTCTTCTCTTTGTTTTTGTTCTTATTTGATATTCATTATACATTATTGTTGTCATGTAAAGTTTGTGCATCAGTGCATGTAAATGAAGATTCGGAAAGGTAAAAAGCTTCTGTTGATCTCAGTGGTCTAATTATTTTACAGACCTTCTCTGGTACTCAGAATGTTTCGGGTCTGCAAAAAGATGAAGCATGGAGGGTAAATGTCTGTATACAAGGATGTGACCTCGAACACGGTTATCTTTGTGGTACCATGGAAGCTCTTAACGTTCCCATGGCAGATACACCAGTAAGAAATCTCTGCTCTTCATGTGTCAACCACTTAACCTGTCTGAGTAGCCTCTTTGTCCTTCCTTGTTTCCTGCCTGTGGAACTATTTAGGATTGTTAATGAAATGGTGACTCCCTTTTTAAAAACAAACAAACAAACAAACGGGATATATACATTTTTACCAAAAAAAAAAGGAAGAGAAAAAGGGATATATACATCTTAAAGAGCAAACCACTTCAATTCCTAAAATTTCAAAGTTTTACGTACCATTTCTTAACCTGTTGCAAACGTCACATATTTACAGAGTTTTTGGTAAGATTGTAATTTGATAGTGTTGGAAAGTTAGGGAGTTAGGATTTAGTTCTATCTTTTGTTCAATAAAAAATCTGATTCCTAGAACTTAGGATTTAGATACTATAGTGTAAGTTTGAGGGGACAAAAGCATTTTTCGGATCTTATTCATTCAATCAGAAATTACATATTAATAAGGCAGAGATGTTGAACTATATCCCCTTAAATCTAGGAACGAAAATCAAATCCTATCTACGTATGAAATCAAAAATTACAAAATCAGAAACAACTAGAAGATCTTGTCTAGAATTCTAAATTCAAACTTATTAATGAAACAATTAAATCTAATCTGATTTTTCCCCCAATCCTAACTAACACTCAGACACTCCTCCTCAAGTTGGAGCAGAGATATCAATCATGCCTAACTTGCTAATTAGATGTTCGAAGTTAGCTCTCTCAGAAGTTCTTTGATCAATATATCTTCTATTTCTTGAGTCGTTGGGACAAAAGGCAGAAAAATCTCGCTAGACTCGAGCTTTTCATTTATAAAATGCCGGTCTATCTCAACATGTTTGGTCCTGTCATGTTGTACAGGATTATGAGCGATACTTATTGCAGCTTTATTGTCACAGACGACTTTGTGGGATGATAAGTTGGCCTCCTTAATTCTTCCAAAACTTTACTTAACCAAAGAGCTTCACAGATGCCATGTGCCATTGCTCGAAACTCGGCCTCGGCGCTACTTCGTGCTATATTCCGAGTGTTTCTTGAAAATGAGTCCTTTTCATGGGGTAGCTTTTAGGTTCCTCATGATCCTATAGACTGCCTCGAGATGTTCTTCACATGGTGAGTGCAAATGCAATATCTGGCCGAGTAGGTGAGAGATATATCAACTTGCTTGCTAGCTGTTGGTACCGGGTTGTATCAACTGGCACACCATCAATTTTTTCCCTGAGATTTTGATTTGGATCCATAGGCGATCAGAAGGTCGGCACTTACTCATTATGGTTTCTTAAGGAGCTCAAGAATGTACTTTCTTTGGAATATGACTATGCCTCCTTGGAACAAGCTACTTCCATTCCAAGAAAATACTTAATTGGACCCATATACTTGATTTCGAACTCTTGTGCTAAGTGGTGCTTCAATCGCTCTATCTCTAGCGAATTATGTCTTCTAAGGGTAATGTCATCTACATAGGCTATCAAAACTGTCACCTCTAATTTTCCAGAAAACTTGAGGAACAAAGTATGATTAGTCTGAGCTTGAGTACACTCGTATTTCTTCACTGATCGGGTGAATCTGTCAAACCAAGCTCTTGGTGACTGTTTTAGTCCATAAAGAGACTTTTTTAGCTTAAAACCTTATTGCCAAACTTTTCACTGAAAGAGGGGGGGCATCCTTATAAACTTCCTCTTCCAGATCTCTATTAAGGAAGGCATTCCTTACACCCATCTGGTGTAGAGGCCTATCCAAGTTGGCGGCAATGGGTTGTAGAACTCTCACTGTGTTTAGCTTCGCAACTGGCACAAAAGTCTCATAGTAGTCAATGCCATATGTTTGAGTGTAGCCCTTTGCCACTAGTCCAGCTTTGTACTGTTCCACCTAGCCATCTGAATTGTACTTTACAGAAAAAGCCCACTTGCATCCAACAATGCTCTTTCCCTTTGGTAAATCTGTGACTTCCCAAGTAGGTTTTTTTCCCAAGGGCGTTCATCTCCTCAAATACAACTTCCTTCCATTTAGGATTGTTTAGAGCTTCCTGCACACTTCTCAGGATTTCTATACTTGAAAGATGAGAGACAAATGCACGATATGATGGTGACAAATGTTCATAAGACACAAAGTTTGACAAGGGATGTTTAGTACAAGACCTGACTCCTTTTCGACAAGCAATAGGAAGATTACTAGACTCCATAAAGGAAGGTTCTGAAATGGAAGAATTTTTACCTGACCTTTGTGTGGAATATGAACATAGCTTTGTGTTGGAATCATGACCTTGCTCCAAAGTTTTGGTCTCTCTCTTTTGTTTCAAGTACTCTCTTGAGTATACATTCAGTCATTTTCTTTGCTCTTTGTTTACCATTAGTTTCTATTTTACTTCCCTCTATATTAGGCATTATGGCCAATTGTAAATTTTCATTACCTGGAACACGAGATTCCTCACAGGCGTTTCTTTTCCGACCGTCTCAGGTTTAGCAGATGGTTCGGATTCAATAGGGAGGATCTCAAGTGCCCCAGATTCGGGTGATGAGGAAATCTCAGGTTCAACAGCTTGTTTTTTCATCTGCTTCCAGAATTGTAGGAAGTACAAAATTTGATTTTCGAAACATCAAATCAAGATTTGAATTTAAATTTTGTTTTTTTTTAAATCAAAATTTGAATTTAGTTTTTGAAATACCGAATCTTCCATATTCACCGAATCTTCCACATTCACCGAATCTTCCATATTCGTCTCCCCCTGAAGATGAGTATTACCAAAAAGGGATTTGATTTGAAAAAAGTTGCGTCCATAGTTACAAATTTTTTTTTTGTTTTGAAATCGGATCAAAACATTTATAACCTTTCTGAGTTGGGGAATATCCGATAAAAACACATTTTTTTGCTCTTGGGTCAAGTTTACCCCTATTATGACTGCTGATGTGAACAAATGTTGTGCATCCAAAAATTTTCGGGAATATTTGATAAAATCCGTGACTCGGGGGAATAATTTTGGAAAATTTTTAATGGTATCGTAAATTTCAAAACTCTACTAGGCATGCAGTTTATTAAATAAGCCGCTATAAGAATGGCTTCCCCCCACAAATATTTCAGGACGTTGGTTGAAAACATTAATGATCGTGCCACTTCTAGTAGATGTTTATTTTTTCTTTCGATGTCCCCATTTTGCTGTGGTGTGGTGTGTCATTACAAGAGCTTTGATGTATTATCCCTTTTCTCGGAAAGTAAATTCCCAAAATTTTATTCCGAAATTTTTATCCTTTTTTCGGGAAAAGTATTCTGTCCCTTTGTCACTTTGAAAATTTTGAATTTTAGTCTGAAATTGTGTTTGATCTTGTTCTGGAAATTTTTGATAACTTGTTCCGCCTCATATTTTTCTTTGAGCAAGTAAACCTACCTAAGTAGTGTGTCATCATCAATGAATGTGATAAACCATCGTTTTCCTGAATAAGTGTTTTCTTGTGATGGCCTCCAAACATCTATAAACCTACCGAAGATTGCTTTTCACACTCCCAAAGGCCATTATGACTTCCTAGCCATGTCATTCGGTTTGACAAATGCCTCGGCTACCTTCCAATCCTTGATAAATGAGGTATTAAAGCCGTTCTTAAGAAATTGTGTTGGTATTTTTTGACGATATTCTATTTTACAGTGATTCTTGGGAGGCACATTTGGTACTTTTGGACAAGGTTCTCTAAGTTTTGGAAGAGAACCACTTGTATGTAAATCAGAATAAATGCATTTTTGCTCAAGAGCGCTTATAATATTTGGGCCATATTATTTCTAAAGATGGTGTTTCAGCTGACCTTAGTAAGATTCAAGCTATGTTGGATTGGTTGACTCCTCGGTCTATTAAGGAGTTGCGGGAATTTTTGGGTCTTACCGGGTATTACCGTCATTTCATCCCTGGTTATGGCCGAATTTCATGGCCTTTAACGCAACAACTTAAGAAGGATTGTTGGAATGCCGAAGCCGACACTGCATTTTAATAGTTGAAGCATGCAATGACGAAGGTGCCCGTGCTCGCTTTATCGGATTTTACCCAGCCCTTTGTAGTGGAGTTGGATGCGTTGCGGTTTGGTATTGGTGTTGTGTTGATGCAGCAACAACAGCCAATTGCTTATTTTAATCAAGTCCTCTCCGCACGTGCTCGAGCGAAGTCACTTTATGAGCGGGAGCTAATGTCCATGGCGTTGGCTATACAAAAGTGGAGACATTATCTGCTTGGGAGGCATTTCGTTGTGCACACTGATCAGAAAAGTTTGAAGTTCTTACTTGAACAACGTTTAGTAAGTGACGAGCATCAAAAGCGGTTATGTAAGTTGTTGGGTTATGATTTTGAGATTCAATACAAGCCGAGCGTTGAGAATAAGGCTGCGGATGCTCTGTCTCGGCAGCAAATGGAGCTCGAATTAGTGGTAATGTCATCTCCGGTGGTCCTTGATATTGTTGATTTGCATCAACAAGAGTTGGCGGATCGTAAGTTAGCCAAGATTTGGGCTGCGTTACTTCAAGGGGTTGCACCTTTGAAAGGTTATACGTTGCAGCGGGATCAACTGCTTTTTAATGGGCGTTTGGTAATTCCTAAGCATTCTCCTCTTATTTCCTCGTTGTTGCATGAATTCCTTGGTAGTAAGATTGGTGGACATTCAGGGGTTCTCAAAACTTATAAGTGGTTGGCTACGGAATTTTATTGGGAGGGAATGCATAGAGATGTGGATTCTTTTGTGGCTGCCTTGCACTGTTTGTCAGCAAAATAAGTCTTTCACTTTGTCTCTCAGGGGACTGTTGCAACCTATTCCTATTCCCCATTGAGAGGATATCTCAATGGATTTTATTTAGGGGCTGCCTAAATTGGAGGGGTACGATTCTATTTTGGTGGTTGTTGATCGCTAAACAAGTATGCACATTTTCTTGGTCTCAAGCATCTTTTTTCTGCTAAATCAGTGGTTGCTCTCTTCGTTAAGGAGATTGTCCGCCTTCCTGGGTTTCCGAGGAGTATTATCTCTGATCAGGATAAAATTTTCTTAAGCCACTTTTGGAGTGAACTTTTCAAGTTGTAGGGGACTTCCTTGTGTCGAAGTACGACATACCAACCACAATCAGATGGTCAGATTGAGGTAGCTAATAGGTGTTTGGAGGCTTACTTGCGCTGTTTTGTTTTGGAGAAGCCTTGGCAATGGTTTTCTTACCTTCCGTGGGCTGAGTTTTGGTATAATACTAGCTTTCATGTGTTAGCAACTATGATGCCTTTTAAGGCTCTATATGGCCGAGATCCTTCCCGTTGGTTCCTTATGTGGCTGGTTCAACAGCGACTTCGGAGTTGGATCAACAACTAGGCGATCGCGATGCCCTCTTGGCTGAATTGAAAGACCATTTGATCCGTGCTCAACAGTCTATGAAGGAGACCGCAAATAAGAAGCGCCGAGATTTGTCTTTTGATGTGGGTGACATGGTTTTCTTGAAGTTGCAGCCATATCGCCATCGCTTGTTAGCGAGGGTTGTCAATGAGAAACTTTCCCCTCGGTATTATGGTCCTTTTTAGGTGCTTGCTCGTGTGGGATGAATGGCTTACCGTTTGCAATTACCAGTTGATGCCAAACTACACCCTGTTTTTCATGTTTCTCGGTTGAATAAGCTATTGCCACTTTGGTGGCTTCTCAATCTCTTCCCCCGATCCTTTCCGAGGACTTGACATTGCAGGCGGAGCCGGAATAGGTTTTGGATACTCTTTACTCTCTTATCACGGGGCAACTAGAGGTTATTCTTAAGTAGCGTCAGGGTGGGTGGGGGTGTGTAATTGATAAGCCTTTACTTCGGCAAGTGTTCATTCGGAAGAATAAAAGGGGCCAAAGGGGTGGTTGAGTGAGGTGGTAGTTGTTTGTTAGTGAAAGAAGAATGGTTTTGGTTGTTAGAAGGTGGTTAGGGAGGAAGGTTGTTAGTTATTGAGGACATTAGTTAGTTAGAGGGTATGAGCTGAATAAAAGGGGGAGAGGGGTTGGGAAGAACTAGAATCAGTAGTGGGAAAGTCTTGGAGTTTGTTCCAAGCAAGGGAGGTTGCTGACCCTCGAAGATCTGCCTTGTTCTTGTATTACCAACCCATTATCAATAAAGATTTACTTCATTTTTCTCTAATCCATTTCCCTAAGTTCCTTAGAGCACAAATTAGCCTAGGTCTATCACACCTGTAATCTCATCGTAGAATTATGATCATACCGGGAAAAGAGGAAGCGCAAATATGGAAAAAAAATTTGGGCAAGTTTACTCACGAAAATATCCAACTCAAGAAAAAGAGGTTGAAGCTTCTCTGCAATGCCATGAGTCCAATCCACAGCAAAACCAAAACTCACCAGGTACTTCCCAATTTAATCTAGTCTCCAAAAAACACCATCCAATGATTTTAATATTCCAATTGTTGTTCGTAAGGGTGTTAGGTCATGTACAAATTATCCGTTGTGAAAGTTTGTGTCTTATGAAAAACTGTCACCATCGTTTCCTGCCTTTGCTTCTCAACTTTCACTTGTGGAGATTTTCCAAGAATGTACACGAGGATGCCTTTTAGGTTCCAGAGTGGAAGGAAGCAGTTTTTGAGGAGATGCAAGCTCTTGAGAAGAACAAGACCTGGGAAGTGGTAGATCTGCCCAAAGGAAACAATTAGATGCAAATGGGTGTTCACTTTAAACTAAGTCTGACAGTACACTTGAGAGATATAAGGCTTGATTGGTAGCCAAGGGTTTTACTCAGACTTACGGTATTGACTATATTGAAAACCAAACACTGTAAGAGTTTTGTTATTAATTGTAGCTAACCTAGATTGGCCACTACAGCAACTTGATGTCAAGAATGCCTTCATGAATTAGGATTTAGAAGAACAGGTCTACATGGATGTACCTCCTGGCTTTGGAGAAAATTCGGCTCAAAAGTGTAGATTGAAAAAGTCGCTATATGAACTCAAGCAATCACTGCGAACATGGTTCGAAAAGTTCACCGATCTATGAAGAACCAAGGGTACAACCAAGCTCACAAGACTCTACAATGTTTATGAAGTACTCTATAGGAGGAAAGATAATGGTCTTGATAGTGTACGTTGATGACAATATCTTAACAGGTGATGATTGTGCTGAGTTGAGTCGACTAAAGATGAGTTTGGCTAAAGAATTTGAGATTAAAGATTTGGCATCTCTCAAGTATTTTTGGGAATGGAAGTTGCAAGAGCGAAGATAGGAATTGTGGTAAATCAATGCAAGTATATCCTAGATCTCCTCAACGAGATCGGGATGAGTTTTACCAAGTATATCCTAGAGATGAGTGGATGTAGGCCTTCGGACATATTAATAGACCCAAATGTAAAATTTGGAAAGAACAAAAACGTGGAGCTAGTAGACACTACTCGGTACAAAAAATTAGTGGGGAAACTAATCTATTTATCCCACATGTCCCGACATAACCTTTGTTGTTAGCTTGGTGAGTCAGTTCATGCACTCAGTTAAGAAAGAACATCTAGAGGCCGTCTATCGAATTTTGTGGTTTTTAAAGGGTTCTCATGAAACGGCTTATTCTTCAAAAAAAAAAAAAAAAATCCACAACGAAATATTGAAGTCTACACCGATGCAAGATTGGGCAGGTTCTATAATTGATCGAAGATCAACAACCTGATACTCTACCTATGTGTGGGGTAATTTGGTCACATGGAGAAGCAAGAAGCATAATGTTGTGTCTCGAAGCAGTGCAGAAGCATAATACAGAGCCATGGCCAATGGGGTTTGTGAATTATTATGGTTACAACGGGTTCTTGCAGAATTACAGAAGCTTGTGAATACACCGATGAAATTGTACTGTGACAATAAAGCAGCGATAAGCATAGTTCATAATCCAGTCCAACACGACCCAACCAAGCATGTCGAGATTGATAGACATTTTATCAAGGAGAAGCTTGAAGCAAGAATCATTTGCATACCATTCGTTTCAACATCGTAGCAAATGGCAGACATTCGTACAAAAGGATTGTTCAAACCTAACTTCGAGGTTCTTGTCAGCAAGTTGGGTTTGATCGATATCTACGCACCAACTTGAGGGGGAGTGTCGGAAAGTTAGGGAGTTAGGATTTAGTTCTATTTTTTGTTCAATAAAAAATCTTATTCCTAGACTTAGGATTCAGATATTATAGGTTCTAGATTTGTTATTTTCATCAAGTTAGTTAGGATTACAAGGATACAAGCAATCCAATTTTATTCATGTAATTCACATATTATTCAATAAGAAGAATTGAATTATTTTCTTCTCAAAACCTTCAGATGATAATGTAACTTAGAAGTGTTTGTTGCTTTTATTTTCCTCTTTTGCGTTTCTTTATGTTCAATGACATCCTTTGACGTAAGAATATCGTTTTTGATATTATTGTAAAAAAAAAAAAAAAAACATAGATTCCAGCTTTTGTAGTTTTTTTTCTCTCTCTCTGTTTTTTTTCTCTCTCTCTTTTTTTTTTTTTTTTTTTTTTTTTTTTTTTGAAGTCCTCATAAAGCATTACCTTTTCCATTCTAACATCTGTCAGGTAGTAACCTTTTGGGAAGGAGAAATTGTTGATACCAAGAATTATACTTTCTTCACTGGCAAATGGGAAGCAACGTATGTTTCCTTTCGTTTTGTATTTTTTTTTTCTCAATTCATTATACTTTTTAGGTAGCTCAAATCCTGTTTAAATTGCAGATTCTATCTTTTCTTTATTTATAATTATTGCTGATACTATCAAGTACTGCTTTTATGATGCCATTGCCATTCACTAGATAGCTATTCAAAAATCAGAAGCACGAACAAATCTGTTTTCTACTTCTGACTAGTTTGTGATATCTTGGCAGACCAGAGGATGATATTAGGCACTGGACCAAGTTTACTTCCTTTAGTCCTTTAACGGTAAGAATCCGGACTTCTTAATCAGACTCGTAAAATTCCTAATCTCCCAATTCATGTGTTTGTTTGTTTATTTATTTATTTATTTATTTATTTATTTGGCCAGAGCCAAGTGGAAGCTGATGGGGGAAAATCTTTGGACCTGAGCAACTATCCGTACATATTTATGGTAAACATTTCACATATTTTTGCCGCTTGATAGAAGGGTACTATATCCAAAGCAAGACCTCTTCAATAATTCTTTTGCCTGGTGCAGAGATGGAAAGAGCAATACTTCGTGAATGTCGGAACGGACTGCGGGTTAACTATAGCTGGCTTTTACTATGTATGCTTCTCTTGTAGTGACGGATCTATCAATGGCTTCTACTATGATCCTAACAGCAGGTCTTTACTCCCTAAAGCATTTTGTTTTACATTATATAAAGAGGAAACTGATGGCTTTTCTTTTTCACTGTGACATTTTTTCCTTCTAACTTCCTTTCTCTAATCTATGGTCCCTTTTTCCTGTTTAAATATTCTGTTTAAGTTTGAAGTACTAGGCATTTTAAAGAGAAGTAGATCAAATCTTAAGCTAGTTATGCTTCTGAAGTAATTGATGATAATTTAATCTTGCAACCTTATTTGTGGTATGCTGATTGACTCCGGAATAACAGAGAAGTAAATGACAATTTACTTGAACGAATTGCAGCCCGTTCCAGAAGCTGGAGCTGAAATCTACCAATGAGGGAAGATCGGGTTTCAGTTTTTCATCATACGAGTTGCGATGAGATGGAAGACAAGTAACCGGTTTTCGAGAATTACCACCCAAATGAATCTATGGATAAAACATGTTTCTGGATTCTCAGAAAACTTGGAGAAAAAAGGGGTTTTATGACTTGTTAGTTGTAGAAAACTAGATGAGATGTTCATTTGTTTGTATTAGTGTCTATTCACAAACTTCATTTTGCAGCATTCTTCTTGTATATGGTACATGATGAGTTTCACTGTATTATTCAAGCATGCATATTTAGTTAAGTTTGTTGTGTGTGCGAACACAGACAATTTGATATGTGACCATTCAAAACATAATCATTCGGGTAGGGTGCTTTTTCTTACTCCAATATGAAAGTTAATTTAGCATAGTCGTACAAAGTTGTCTTACTAAGATACAGTTAGAAGATGGTAGGGTCTACCCGGCCTGTTTGGTATACGAGTTCAAACAATGGTTTAAATTAGGGTTTTTAATTATAATTTTTAAAATTTAAATTTTTTATGAGAGAAAAATAATGTAGTAGAAAATTCTGGATTTACACAGTAACAAAACCCGTTTATTAGATATACACTACGGCTTCGTTCACTTTACGGATTCGAGTTTTCAATTCGAGCTGAGATGTGACATTTTCTGATAGCTTTTCACTGTAGCAAAAAAAGTTGATGTGATATTTTTTGAGAGTTTTTTACTGTAAAAACTTAAAATTGAAAACTCGAATCGGTGAAATGAATGAGGTCTACATGTTTCTGAATTATATATTTGGTCAAAAAATATGAGAATAGAAAAATATATGTAAAATGATTTTGTTTTTTTGTATGAAAATGAAAATGAAAACGTTTTCATTTTCATTTTGGAATCATTTTTTAAAATGCGTTTGGTAGTTTTATTTCGAGATTGATTTCAGTTTAAAAAAAACTGAAATTGTGTTTGGTGGTTTAATTTTAAAAACATGTAATAATATTTAAAATTAAAATATATTAAATAAATAATATTATTAAATATATTAAATAATAATATATTAAATAAACGTTGTATACATGATAAACGTTGGTGGTTATGGAAGTTCCGACTCTGGTGAGGTGGAGGAAGGGGCGGCGGCGGAGTCGGATGAGGATGATCGGAGGCGGTTGTGGTGGTGTTTAGGGGCAGCGAGGTCGAGGCGAGAGAGGAGGGGGGGAAATGAAAATGGGAAATCGGAGAAGGGGGGGCAGTCGAGGGGGGCAGGCGGAGGGAGAAGAGTGGGGCAGGTGGGTTTTGGAAAGATAATATTTAATATTATTAGATAAAAAAAAAATCACAAACTCATATCAAGATAATATCACAAACTCAGGACCAAACAAACAAAAAACCTGCAAATGAGATCTGATAACAAAAAAACCGCCAAAAACTTGCTCCTTCCATCTCTGCAAATTAGATCCGCTGCCACCACCTCCACATCCCAGCTCTAGCGAGCCCAAGCAAATCCCGCTGCCACTTCCACAGCCAAGCTCCGGCGAGCCCAGGGAATCGTACTACCACCTCCGTGGCCGTGTTCTGTGAAAATTTGCACATCTCCGACTCGCGACAATCTTCAGTGGAGCACGAACCACTAGTTGTCGTCGTCCACATTAGATTTGGTGCATATATTCGAGAGAGAACAGAGCGGAGGGAGGAGAGAGAGAGAATGGCGAGAGCCTTCACGGCGTAGATGATAATTGAGTCGAGTTCGCCGGTTCTTCGGCGCGATTCAGAGGAGGGAGAAGGAGCAAAAACAATAGCGACGAGATCAGCTTCTTTATCTTCACTCGCGAGATCGAAGATCAGCGAGATCGAAAACTCCGGCGAGAACTAGATATGAATACTCCCAATCAGTGTCTTCATCTTCCCTCGTGAAATCGGTGTCACGAGTCCTAGAACGGCGTCCTAAGTTCGGGGAAGAGAGAGAAACATGGGGAGAGGAGAGAGAGAGAGATTGGAGAAGAGAGCCAGAGCGAAAGAGAGAGATGTCTGAAGATTAGGGAAGAGAGAGAGAGAGGACCATGGGGGACAGATGGGAAGAAGAGAGAGAGATCAGTCTGTTTTCATTTTTTATCCTCGAAGAGTTCATACTGGTCAAGGGCAGAAAAAAATTTAGAGAGAAGAAAGAAAAGGAAAACGGAGAAAATGAAAACGGTCTTAAATCGTTTTCAAATTTTCAAAAAAATGACAAAAATGTTTTTATTTTTAATTTTTAAAAAATTGTTGCACCAAACGCGTTTTATCTATCCGTTTTCATTTTTCATTCTTGAAAAATGTGAAAAACGTTTTTAAATATAAAAACAAACGGGGACGATAAAATTTGATATTGATGTAACAACAATTTAGAACAGAAGCCGCAGGTATTTCTTTTTCGCATGCTAAAAATTTCACACTAACAATATTGATTGGACCAACATTACCGAGTACATCAAGGACAAGTGTCAAACTAGAAGTGCTTTTGTTGATGAAACCAAAGCAGTTAAAATGCAAAAGGAAAATTGAAGAATAGAGAGTTTTGTGTTGTGTGAGAAAAAAGGAATTAATAATAGTTTTTTTTATATTTTTCATTAGTTAAATTTACATAAAAAATTATTCTATTTTGTATATTTTTTTAATATAATATAATTTTAACCGGATTTAAAGTAAGGAGGAAGAAGTCCCTGAAAAATATTCATTATTAGAGACTCATGATAAGAAAGCATGGGGGAGTTGAGGAATACTCACGACGTGGGCCCCCACGTTTCTAGTAAAGAAAGTGACCTGACTCAACTGCAAAAGGTGGGGCCACTCTCAAACACTTTTTGAGAGTTAGAAAACTAGTACCCCCTCCAAAATCTCAAAAATATGTCTCCAATTGACAGCTCTTTTCCAATCCTCTCCAACATTGACGGCCATTTATGTATTAAACCCACAATCACATAACCAACCTCGTGCTCTCACGCAGTTGGTTACGGCGGTCAAATTACAAATCCAAAAATATCTAATAAATGCATTTAACCCATTTCATGAGGGACGTGTTCTTATTTTAATTTCCCTCCCCCTCTCTCTCTCTCTCTCTCTCTCTCTCTCTCTCTCTCTCTCTCTAACTACCAACTTTATATTACCTTCCCACTAACTCTATTATAAAACCTTGTTCTGAAAATGAATCCATCATTTAACTGATCCTTTTTTTTTTTCCTGCATTTTTTCTTCACACCCTTTTCTTTTCTTCTGCACTATTACACTCTACAGAAGACAATTCCCCCCCAAAAAATGATTTGACTTCATTAACTCATGATTTACTGTTGTTGTACAATATTCTTCTGATCAAGTTCTTGTAGCCCTATATCTAGCTTTCCAAAACTGTAAATGGAAAGCTTGCTTTGTGATGAGGTTTGGCCTTTTTCTAGCCCCATAGAAAACGAACTAGTTGAGAAAACTACTTTACATGGTGAGGATCACAATGGTGAATATTGTTGTCATATGAGCATGGAAGATTGTGAACAGGCTCTTACTATATCCCTAGAGGACGAAAAATCTTACGCTATTACCCCTAAGTACTTAGAATATCTTGCGTCGAAAAAATTGATCGTTCCTAGGTTTAAAAGCATTCAATGGTTTATCAAGGTCAGTGTTTAAGATTCTCATAGTAAAAAGAACTCATATATCACTGTTTAATTAAGATGATATCTACTAACCTTGCTCATTTTTGACTAAACACCAAGTTTAATTAATTCATTTTTACCAATATTGATTCTTAAATCAGTAAATGGTTTATTGAATTTAATTCGTTTTCTCTGCCAATTACAGTGTCGAAGTCGCTTGAATCTCTGCTTTGAAACCGTTTTCTATGCTACAAACTACCTTGATCGCTTCATATTATCTATGAATCAGTGTAATATTGTAAGAGTTTTTCCCCTTTAATTTGCTCATGGTCTATTTTAAGTTGTCAATGATATTCTTGAAACTATCACAGATAATCAGATTCCAAATAAAATCGAATAACAAACAGTATTGATCGATACAAATTTTGTAGGAATGGAAATACTGGATGGTTGAATTGCTCTCTGTTGCATGCATCTCCATTGCCTCCAAATTCAGTGACACCACTACTCCTACATTGCATGAAATCAATCTGGTACGTACATTTTTTTTTCACTTTTCCTTATTGCTCCAATCAGGTACGTACAACTAATTGTAGAGAAAGTTGAAAATTTGATCATGATGTTATCAGCTTCTATATTAATATTTTTTTTTTTACTTTTTAAGTATATTAGCACAGTATATGCAATTGATCACATCTTGCTAAGAAATCTTACTATATATTTTTTGTACCTAATTTTTACATTAATCTGGCTGTGTACGTATAATTAAATTGAAGAATATGGAGGATATGGAGCACTTGTTTCAGCCAAGTACGATCCAGAGAATGGAATTGATGATTTTACAGGCATTAGATTGGCGTCTTGCTTGTGCCACTGCTTATTCTTATGTCGAAATGTTTACACGTGCCCTCCACGTGACCTCCAATGTCAAACCTCATCTCCAACAAGAGATTGTGGCCCAAGTCAACGACTTGCTTCTCCGAGCCATTTCAGGTTATGATATATACGCATGCATTCAAACAAATTATACGTACATACATATTATAGCCGTCTATATATAATAACCAGAGCTAATCTCATTTTTAGTCCCGGAACTATCTATATATATATATTAATTTGTTCCATAACTTTTAAAACATTTCTGAACGAATATCCAATTTATGAAAATTTTCCAATTTAGTTCTTTCATCTATTCCATTATTAATAAAATATCAACTCAAAAAGACACGTGAGGACGACATGCAGTTTCATATATAGAAGACAATTTTGTAGTTTTAAATTTTAAGGGATGATTGGCAAGAAAACAAATCTAATTTTTTCATCAAGATTTTAATAATCGGATGTATGTAACAGCTAATTTGAGACAAATAATTGATACTTCAAGAACTTGTTCTGGAACAATTTAAATGTTAGGGATTAAATGAGATTTAGGCTATAATTTGGGATCTAAAAATGTTAATTAACCCTAAAAACAACAATAAGTATAGTGCACATGTATAGTTGACCGTATAAATTAACGTCAATATTACTTCCAAGATACATAATTTTGAGACTTTTGGTAACATATCTATTACTTCTCCGGAAAAAAAAAGAAAAAAAAAAAAGGAAAAAGGAATGAGGGGTACCGCTTCTGAAGCGTATAGAGCTCTGAGAAAATTTGAATGCCCATACTTTGTTTAATGTGGTTGATCTTACAATATTATATGCTCTTGGCGGAGCAGATTATAAGTACATGTCTTAAATATTAATCATGCACAATGTAGAGAATATTATAGCTTTCTGTTTCTTCAGGCAATTGTTTATATACATACAAACTAACACATGCACGCTCCTATATACAGAGAAATGTACAGACATCCTATATACATAATTTATGTTTAGTCATATACATAAATGTGCGTGTATATGTATATATATGTGCTGTGTATGTTTATACATATAACACATGACCTTGTATGTGTAACTATATTATATCGATCGTACATATATGCTTTTCTTGATATATATATATATATATACACACACACATATATATATATATAGACTTATCAACGGAGACCAAATTAATGACCCTGCAGATACGAAAATGCTGGAGTTTAAGCCAAGTGTGATTGCCTTATCTGCTATATGGTGCTGTCTAGATAAGTTACATCCAACAGCACCCATAACCCTTCCCTCCTCTCTTGCAGGATTCTTTAACCAAGATCAAAAGGTAATTAATTATACGTTAGAATTATATATATATATATATACAATAATTGATATTATGTAGATATATATATAATTGATTATTGTATATACACTAATATATAGATGTTGAGAAACACCATATGCAAAATTTGTCTAATATAAGTATTAAGTCTTGAATCTTTCTATGTATATAAACATTTCACATCTCTATGCACTTTTTATATAGGACAGCACACATATACATTTTTGTCAGCAATAGATGCTTACACACAGAGTGTACGTTACATTTATTTAATTTATTCTTTTATTGATAATGATCATGATTTTTATTGTCTTTGGCTGTGAATTGTGTAGGATGATTTGGTAAGGTGTCATAATACGATGGAAATGCAGTGGATTAATGGAACTACGCTATTAGATGATGAGGGACAGTACTGCTATAATTATTGCCCATCAAGTCCCACAACAGTGTTGTTGAAGGAGCGTATTAATCTACCTGATTTCAACGTTGATCTCTCTCTCTTCCATATACAACGTCCGCAATTCAATCTGGATCCTTCAATATCAAAGAAAAAGCCTCGAAGAAGTGAAGGACTATATATGAATCAATAATAATAATTAAAATAAAGAGAAAAACAAAGGGTAATTTCCTTAATTTTGCTACTGTTGTACCCATGCAAAATAGTATGCATAATTCATTCTTCAAAAATAAAAGTTTCTTGTTTTAGTTATGCTAAGTAACTAAGTTGTACATTCTTAATATTAATCCATCTACCAAGATAATCTATTATTAGTAAATCTAATATGAAGTCTTGAAAGTTGAAACACATATGAGATACGAAGGAAGTTATTTGAGAGATGATCTTAAACAGTGTCATTTGTGAGATGATAGAGAAAGCATGATTGATCATATTATTATTTTATTTGTAAGTTAAAAAGACAACCTTTAATGGGACATTTTGAAAAATAAAAACTTCATCAACACACTAAATAATTAATGCAGCGATTTATAAAATGTGACTCCACTTCATAAGTTTTCCATGTGGAATTAGAAAACTTGAGTTGCCTACAACAATTAGGCTGTATGAGAGCGTTAAATCCATTAGGCTGTATTTTTCCGTTATTATCTATAACATAAATAAATAACATACTTTATACCCTTGTTTGATTACATTTTTAAATTATGGTGACTTGAGTGTAGATCTTGAGTTGAATTTGAGTTATAATTTGAGTTAAAGTTGTAACTTGAGTTTGTGTTTGGATGTGCACATTTGAGTTGTAATTTGAATTGAGAATCTATTTGAGTTTGTGTTTAAGTGGGTCAAAACTTGAATTTGTATTTAGATAATATTTTAATAATAACTCAATGGTGATGAAAAATTTTAATAGGGTATATGGGTGGGATTTTATTCGTCTATTCATTGTAAAAGTATGGAAAAAAATAATCTCAATCGGAATTAAAACGAAAAAGTTATGACATTTTTAAGAATAGAAAAAATACTGTTCATTAACTAGAGTTTGAGTTTAAGAACTTGAGTTGAAGGAGAAATTTGAACTAGCCCCAAACTCAAGTTAAAACTCAAATTTTACAAATGAACATGAACTTAAATAAAGTTGTAATTTGAGTAAATTTTTTTTGAGTTTGACTTCAAAAAAACAAACCCTTTATAATTAGGGAGAAAACGAGAAATACCACTCAAAAGATGTCATCAAATTATATCTACTAAGTGGTATAAACTTAATATTTATGCAGCTCAATCCACTTAAAAATATCTAATCTATTTATGTTCAGTGATATAATTAAATATAAGGTTGTGGACTTCGGTGGCATGCCGCGTAATTTCAAGCATACGCGGAGAAATTTACAAATCACCATTGATGGATATATCAATTTTTTCTTTTTAATAAAGGCGAACAATTTCATTCATTTTAAACAAATACTATATTTGTACATCTTGTAGAAATACCGAGATTGAGATTAAAAAAAAAAAAAAAATTTGTTATAACAATAATAAAAAGCGAACAAACAATTACTAAAACTAAAAACAATGAGAATTTCTTTGTGCACTCTTTCTATATCAGATGTACCTAACTCTATAAAGAAAATAAAACCGAGCGCCACAAAAAAAAAAAAAAATCTTCAACTCTTTCAAAAAGCCATCCGCCTCTAATTTAGTTTCTTCTGAATAATACGATATCATACATGTTTTCAACATTTATCTGTGCCCACCTAATATTTTCCAAATCTGTCCTTCAAAATCTATGAAACTGACGAGAAACCACAAAAAAGAAAACAAAAATAATAAACTTAAACATGGTACCAAACCAGTTAAAGATATCTAAATGAACATATATTTTTTTTCATTATGCAAGTACTAAAAGTTGCACAAAATATAATAAAAAAACAACAACAAAATAAAATCTCACTTTATGTGGAAAAAATGCCGAAAAATGGGATGAAAATTACAAGAGAAAAAGAATATTAACTTTTACGTAAATAAATGTGTATAATAATTTCAGTAATATGTTTGAAACTAATAACAGGGGTAGTAATACATAGCATTTTTCATGCCTGATTTTTTTTTTTTTTCCCTTTTTCTATTTTCCCTTTTTTATGGAGAGAATGGAGACTGAGAGGCCAAAGATCCATTGTCCTTCGCCGCTACACCACCATGCAGCATTGTTGCATTAAATATATTCTTCCAAAAAGTATATTTAAAAAAAAAAAAAAATTCTATGGTGATAAATAAGCAATTTCACCGGAACACATGTCAAGCCGAACAATGGAAATAGTATCAAAAACAAGATCTTTTAATCCTGTGCGGGACAAAATCAGAAATGTACAAAAATGTTCATAAATCTCCACCCACTAATCTCCGGGACCCACCAAAAATATATATCGTAAGTGCGTGTTTTTTGGAGCCTTCAACGTGGCAAAATCTGGACCCCATATTATGTAATGACAAAAGAAAATCCCACGTAAGTGTTGGTGTGTGTGTGGCTAAGAAGATAAGCTAAAGGTGGACAAAAAGAGCAGTTTTCTAGTCTAGAACAAGAAGAAGGGAAAAAAAATGGCAACTTCAACAGTATCATCTCTTTTACCATCAAGAGTTTTGACAGAAAAGCATCAAAATCCACAACCATTTTTGGGTAACAATGGAAATTTTTGGTGCACAACTTCCAAGAATCGGGTCTCCTTCAGGCTACAAGCTGTGAAGCCTCCTCCTGGAGTATGTTCATGGCTCTGCTCTTGCCCACTTTTTTTTTTTATTTTTTTATTTTTATTTTACGGGGCAATAAGTTCCACTTTGTTTGCATTGACATTGAAGATTAAGGAAATGGGTCTGGGTGTTTTTCTTTGTCAGGTGATAGTGCCAAAAGTAGAGCCAAAATTTAATCCCCCATTTGCGGGATTCACCAGAGTTGCTGAAACATGGAATTCTAGAGCTTGCATGATTGGTCTTATCGGTACTTTTATTGTAGAACTGGTGTGCTTCTCTTTCTCTATTTCTTTTTTATTATTTTTTTATTATTTTTTTCCCCTTTTTTTTGATAAATATTTGCTTGAATTTTCAGATATTGAACAAGGGTATACTACAGGTGATAGGAGTGGATGTTGGAAAAGGTCTTGATATTCCTTTGTGAGTGTAATTCATCTTTTATTCGCTTCAAAAAGTTGCTCTTTAACCACATATTGATCTCTGTAAACACTCGAACAATTGCTCAAATATCACGACTGCTGTATTTTGTTATTTATATTATATTACAGTCATCTGTTTACATCACGTTGCCTCCTCCTTTTCACCTTTTGAATGAGAATTCAGCCTTTTTGCTACGGTATTTTTCACTCTAAACCCGCCAAAATAACGGGGCCTTTGTAACATCACTTGCAGAGTCACTTCTACTAAACACTGAAATTATATATATATATATATATATATATATATAAAAGATGAATTGTGATACATTTCAAGTTCTCTAATAAGTCTCAATTAAATCTGGGCATCCTACTATTTCTTGTGCCTGAGGTTACAATTTTTGAACCGCAATTTATTGTTCACTCAGTCTGTACAGAACATTGGAAGCCCCTTGATTTTATTCTGTAATTCACTACTTCAAAACTGGTTTTTGGGGTTTCTCTGGCAAAACTACAGAGGTTATACATGGCATTGAACTTTCATACAACTGTTCTATGATTTCACAAGACGCAAAAGGTAATGTAATGAGGTCTGCAGCTGGATAAGAGTGAAACTAGTCTACAGGGCCCTGCTGATTCGAGTATCTATAACCAGCGTTTTCGAAGACTCTTCGGAAATTGCTAGTGCCTCGGCCAACGAGAGTCTGCGGTTTCTCCATGCAGCCTCTGCCCAACTCTTCATTTCCTGCCCTTGATCCTTTCTGTTCTGTTGGACACAAAGTACTTCCGCATAGCCACCTATACAATTGAACAAAATCTATATAAATCCTCAAAATTCTCTTTCTAGATCAACATAGCACATTGACATAATGATGACCCCTGCGTCGAGCTAATAAGATGCCAATGGTATTGTTTTTGATGCATTATGAGACTTCCATACTCCAATAAAATGGAGAACAAACTCAATTTTTACAGCATATATTCCAGGACGCATCACTAGTAAAAGTAAAGGTGATCTTGTTGGTCATTGCTGAGGTATAAATCATTATATTGGATATGTTGCAATTAATACATTTATGAGAACTAATCTAGATGCTTGGCTACTACCTCTTGCAAGGGCAATAATATCACTTCTTGCGACCTTTGCTTCTGCACCTACAGAGACCAGAAAATAAAAAACGATGACGAATATAGAAGGGTGTTTGATTGGTTAAAATGAGAAGGAAAATGACATCTTCATCATACCTTCAGTATCCAAGGGCGGAGCTTTCAGCAATTCTAGAGCCCTTCTATAAAGTCCCTGTAAGCGATAGTTTTAGGGGGAGTAACAATACACAGAAGAAATCCTCAGGAAAATAAAATGAAAACTGAAGCAGCACAAGTTTGTGCAAGGAAAGTCGACACCAAAAACCCAACATATTTAACAAAACAACATTCAGAGATGATGATGATGGGCCAACGAGAATACTTGGCTAGGAATCCAAACTCTTTTGAAAAACTAAGCAAGACTTGAAAACAAACTAGTTCCCCACTCCTAGCAGTAAGTTGCGTGGGTATAATGTTAAAAATAAGAATTACTAGGGACTAAGGCGTGGTTAAATTGAGGACTCAATTCCCAAAGTACTCGCCACCCTGATCTACGTAATAGGTTCTCCTAGCCAGAGTCCCACCACGTTGATATTTAAAAAAGGATTTTTTTAGCACAATTGCCCTCTGAACTTATCGTACGTTAGCAAATTGTTCCCCGAACTTTTAATTTTCACAATTAATCCCATCAACTTGTTTAGCAGATGCAATTAGCCCATTTGATAAACGTTATTGTTAAATCATTAACAGAAACACCACGTGAGACGTGCACATGGGACATTTGAAAGGGGTACCTCAGGCTTTTGGAGAGCAGACTTCATGACAAAATACACAGAGGGAAAATGGGTTTCTGAAATTTAGGTCAAAATCAGTGACTCATATTTTAGTTTTCCGGCAACAGATCGGTGAAATTAGCTTGGGCCTTTCGCTCCTCATCTTCCTCTGGATCTTTTGATACCAAAATCACGTCAAATGAGTGTCGGATTCGCCCAAATCGGACGAACAGCGGCGGCGCACAATGAGGTCTTCGAAACTCCAGCAACTAGCGGCGGAGAAAGACGGCTGATGAAGGGAATCTACTCTTCATCGCCTTCTCAGTCCAACTGTACCTGTGGTGCACCTCACCACCTCCAACAGGAAGAAATCCGGCAATAGCAGCAGCTGTTACTCTGGCCACCTCATACGGTACTGCTCTGGTGGGAATCAGATGGGAAAATGAGCGGGTTTTGCTTCGTTTCTGCTGGGATTGAGCAACAAGATCACAATCTTGTCGTTTCTGATGAGTGGCATCGCCGGAACAGCTTGGGTTCAGCTTGGGTTTCCAAAGTCACCAGTACTTTCAGTGTCGGCAAGCACTTTTGCCGCGATTTCTTGGAGAACAGCAGCGATGATTGCTTCTAACTGAACCTAGCAATTGTACTATTCCGCGAGAGACTATAAAGCAATCGAGGCAACAGCCTGTTCGGAACCAAAAACATGAAAACCTTATCTGATGTGGGAAGGAGAATGAAAAGAAAGAGAGAGTGAGTGAGAGAGATGTGGGATGATACGTATCTGATGGAATATTTGTCTTCTAATCCAATAATGGCCCTTTGGCCATGTCAAAAAAGATAGTGCTAAGCCTTTTTCTAATAATTAAGGAATAAAGAGTAGTTTATGTTTATGAATAAGGAGTAGTTTATGTTTATCAATATCTTATTTCAAAATTATTGGATACAGAATACCGGTTATTCCCTTCGAAAATCATACGTGACCAGCACGTGTATATTTTCATCAGCTTTTTAACATCTGTTTATCAAATGGGGTTAATTGCAACTGTTGAACAAGTTAAGAGGGTTAATTGCCAAAATTAAAAGTTCAGAAGGCAATTTGCTAAACCACAAGTTCGGGGGTAATTGTACTAAAAACCCTTAAAAAATACCAATTAGTGTAGGTGGTTTTAACTTAATTACAGGCAAACCAATGCCCTAAAATAAATTAAATCGATCTAGTTCTGTGCTACTTCAAGTAAAATGGAAGCTAACCAATATGGGAAATGTTAGACTAAGAAATCTAAAATTTGACAAATTCAATTTCAATACATTTTTTTATAAATAAATTAAATCGATCTAGTCACTGTGCTACTTCAAGTAAAATGGAAGCTAACCAATATGGGAAATGCTAGACTAAGAAATCTAAAATTTGGCAAATTCAATTTCAAATACATTTTTATTATAAATAAATTAAATCGATCTAGTCACTGTGCTACTTCAAGTAAAATGAAAGATAACCAATATGGGAAATGCTAGACTAAGAAATATAAAATTTGGCAAATTCAATTTCAAATGCATTTTTAGTATAAGTAGATTCTAACCTCTTGAATCAAAAGAGAACTTGAGCGCTCTTGTGTTGCTTTTCGCCTAAACATTAGAGCTATCGAGGTTAAGACAACTCCAACCTTTGGATGATAAGAACCTTCATGGGAGTCACATGAGCACGGGAGTTAGATTCATCATTACCTGATGTCGAGAGGGCAGAAAATAATTCTGATATGCTTTACATAACTATCGATTAACAAAGAAAGCAATACAAAAGAAACGAACCAAAATCTTCCTCTGCTTTTGTTAAAGCTCTAGTCAATATATCTTCAGCATCACCAAAGTTCCTATCAGTATACAAGTGATGCTCGTGTTATAAGAATCATGATTCCAACAAATAGCAGAGCGAGGTTGAAGAGTATTTAAAAGTTACCCAAGCTGTGCCTCGAGCTGTCCCAGAGCACATGTGGCTGCTAACAAAACCTCCTCCTGGGACATATTACAAGCAGCTAAGGAATCTGGGTTGCTGAAATCTTTTTTCTCCGACAGTTGCTGGACAACATTCTGGTATAATTCCTTTGCCAGTGAAAAGTTGTGTGTGGAATGCAAGAATTCTCCATAGGATAGAGTGGCACTGCCTACACATCATGAAAATTTTCAAAATAGAATAGTTTTTTTTTTTAATAACAGGCTACAGGACATCTGATCTTTCATGATACGCGTATTGAAACACGTGGGAACGGTCACTATGGCTACATTAGATGATCTATTTGCACACTAAAACAGTCCAAGTACATCGCCTATGATTATACACGATCATCCACCTACAGCATAGGCTAAAGTCCCTCTTTTCCCCGCCCTCTCCTCCTCTACAAACGCATAGGCAATTGCCTGGACGGGCCATATCATGCTTCACAACAAGCACATCATTCTTTGGTTTAACTGCACAAGTTTTCAGGTTTGCACTGTGTCACAATCTTTCCTTGGATACATTCAACAAAATAAAAAACTCTATTATTGGAAAAATGTCAGTAACATGTGGTATTTAGTAAACATACATCTCAAGAGCGAGTTGTAAATTCCTTTTAAAAAATGCAATTAAAAGCTACTAACCTCAACAGATGAGATAAATCTTCTGAATATGAATTGTTGAAACCTTTCAAAAGGTTGATGCTGATTACTCTCAAGTCCCAACACTTACCCTCAACACAAGCTGTCCCTAAAATTCTTTGAATGTCATATAAAGCAATGTTTAAAATTTCTATCAAGTACTAAGGTGTATGCCTTTGCGAGACAAGGCGTAAGCCTTAAGGTGCATTGAGGTGTAAGCCTCAAACTTGAACAATCATAGATTATTTGAAACAATATGAAACATCAAGTATTTACATGCAAAATCCATAAACAATGTCTTCAGTATACATAAAAAGGCCTTTTTATCACTAAATAAAAAGTGAGAAATCTAAAATAATGTCTCCATAACAGCTAAAAAGTCCTAAAACGATAGTCATTCACCACAAAACATATAAGTCTAGAAGCCTAAAATAAAGTAGGCATAATCTTACGGTCATCCCCCGTCGTAGAAGTAACGACTAGCAGGAAAGGTAAGTTTGTGGTTTTTACGCCTTGAGGCGCGCCTCATGCCTAGGTGCTGGAATTTCGCCTCAAAGCCTACACTTTGAGGTGAGGGGGAAGAGGCACACGCCTCCGAGCAGCGCCTCAAGCGGTGGTTGAGGCGTGCACCTTTTTATTTTGTGTGTTTTCTGAGTTTGTTTAAAGCCCAAAACAGTCGGGCCCAAAAATAAAAAGAATCCACCTAGGCCCTCAATCGTTAAGAAAAACCCTAAGAACTAAAGAAATCAGACAGACCAGCCGCATATTTCCTTCACATTCTTCCTCTTCGCATCTCCTCCGTTTCATCAACCAAGTCCAGAACCAGCCACGGGAACCAAGTAGAACCATTCTTCAAGTGAGACTGTGTAAGAGGATCAAGAAGGGTGGATAGACTGTGATTGTGACACTAACAGTCAAGAATTTGTCGACAATGAGAGATTTAAATTGGTTGATCCTTCTCTTAGTAGTGATGATGATTGATGAGTTGGGAGATCTAGGCTTTTAGAAGTGCTTTATGAACCTTATGATATTACGATTGGATAACTATTTAGGAGACGTCTGATTCATGGATTAGAATCATAAGATTAGAACCATTTTCAATTTACGTGTATTTTTTGTGAGAGAAAACACTGTAGCAAACCATGAACCATGATTCGAATCGGAGTACGAATCTCCCAACCAAACAACCCCTTAGTCTTTTTTATGCCTCTAGCAAGGTTTTAAAAGGCAAAATCGGGCTTCGAGGCATTTTGCCTTTATGAGGCGAGGCGTAAGCCTCAAGGTGCTTTGAGGCATAAGTCTCAAAAAATGCCAATAAAAAATTTTGAAAAAAAAAATAATAATAGCAATAAAAATTAAATCCATACTCAATAATCATTAAAAACAAGAAATTTAACCAAACAACCAACATCAAAATACTTTCTCCTTCAAAATCCGTGTTCTAAGCTCGTGCACAATTGGGGGTTCAAGACCTCTACCATAGTTCCCAATTGATCAACACATTAAAATAGGAGGGGCTCCTAGCAATATTAAACGCAAGCGCATTTTCATGAAATAAATTAAAAAAATAAAAAAAAACCTACCAATGTCAAGACATACTCAAGAACGCGCCTCTTTCACTTGTTGATGTTCTAAGCAAAGGTCCTTCTTTGTTTGTTTCATCATCATCCACATCGATCATAAACATGTCCATGGGACCTCTAACTCCTCTTTCACTAATTACTTGTCGTGGTTGACTAGTACCACCTCCACGACAAGAGCCAACATATCCATCACCAAAATACGAGCCGACATCCACCATTTCTTCAAAATTTCGCTGCGCCAAGTGTTTTTCAGCAGTTGCCTTGTTCATATAGTCACTAATTTCTTTCTTCACTTCATCAAGAACCTTAGGACAAGGTTTTACATTCTTATGAGTGCAAGCAAGGTGCTCTTTCATTCTCTTAACACCTCCTTTAACAATTTGATTGCAGAACACACATTGGAGGTAAACATAAGTCATTTTCTAATGTAATTTCTTTTTCATATTTTCAAGCGGGCCCCATCTCCCGCTACAACCACCACTAGCATTTTATGGAGCTCTCATCCTAATTTAAACTACCAAAAAAAAAAAAGCAACATTACAATCTACAACAGAAACAAAGACACTCCACCACAAAGTCACAACTATTTACTTTTGTTGATATTCAGCAAAAAAAAAAAAAATACAAAAAATACAAAAAAACAAAAACTCTTGAAGAGTCAAACAACAATGCCCACTTAAAAAAACCAAGTCAAGAGAAGAGATTGGAATAGATACTCACTTGAAGAGTTGGCCTGCTCTTTTTCCCGCAGCTAGTTGATGAAGCGGAGGAGGAGAGATGCGATGAGGAAATTGAAGCGGCTAGTTCTGTCTCATTTCTTTAGGTCTTAGGGTTTTTCTTAATGATTGAGGGCCTAGGTTGTTTGGGCTTCTTTAAAATTTGGGCCCGCCTGCTGTGGGCTTTAGAAAAACCTAGAAGACACTCAAAGTAGAAAGGTACACGTCTCAATCACCTCTTGAGGCGCTGCTCAGAGGCACGCCTCATCTCCACCACCTCAAAGCGTAGGCTTTGAGGACGATTTTCAGGGCACATGGCGCACCCCGAGGCGTATGCCTCAGGTGCTTTTAAAAACCATGGCCTCTAGTAGTGAAATAGACTTGTCTTTATGTGGGTTGTTTGGTTAAATTTCTTATCTTTATTGATTATTGAGTATGGATTTAGTTTTTATTACTATTATTTTCTTTTCAAATTTTTTATTGGCAGTTTTTTTAGGCTTACGTCTCAAAGTGCCTTGAGGCTTATGCCTCGCCTCGTAAAAGGCAAAACACCTCAAGGCCCGATTCAACATCACAGCAGGTCAAGTAGCTTATATATACGACTTAGGTGTAATAAGTATGTGTTATGGCCTTCATAGAGTAAGTACGTAGAAATGGGAGTAAGCCTATGGTAAATCTAAACTTAGGACTCAATTCTTGTCTTCTCCATCAAGCAAACGAAGCCTTTTTCTTCAAGTTGAAATAGATCAATCTAGTATTCAAAACTATATTTAGAGAATTCACAACATTTTGAAAGGAAAAAACAAGCGAGGCTCAAGTCAACTAAGGCCCTGTTCTTTTTGCAGGTTTGAATCACAATTCAACCTTTTTAGTTTACTACAATGTTTTCTCTAACAAAAATTTGAATTTCAGTTCAAATTCTCATCTCAAATCTATGAAAAGAACACTCAGTAAGTATCAAGGCTATGCAGATATTGCAAGGTTAACATATGGCTTTAAATTTCATTTTAGCGTAGCATACTTAAATAAAGTATTGGTAAAATAATCAAAGAGGATTTTTTCACGCATTCCAATTGTAATCCGTTCACCAAGAAAAAGAACCTCACCAGTTAATCCTTTATTATCCCCGGGTACAATGAAGAAAGACTCAGCTGCAAAGAACCAAACAGATTGGAGAAAGAAAAACACTAAGTAAGCACATGATAGAATAATTAGAAACTTCTTTTGCAGCATTAGAACTACCTGACTGAATATTGCCATGAACAAGCTCAACCAGTCCTTTTACGGCTTTAGCACGAGCGCGTATGATCTCACCACCTTCACCACTAGATTCCAGTTCATTTTGTCCTAAAATTTCTAAGCATTTATCCGCGAGCACTTTCGAAGAATCATCCTACACAGGGAGAACTTATCTCCATGAATCCAAAATAACAAATACAATCTAATGAAACATCTGTCTAGAGATTTACCTGCCCAAGCTCTAAGTGTAGCCCAACAAGTGCTTCCATTGCAGCAACTTCACCAAACCCAGATAGATTCTTCAGCCATTTACGTAAAACCCAAAAATAAATAATAACAAAATAAAAACAGATTAAGCAAAAATGTAAACATTTTTCTATTTACCTCTAACCCCAATTGACGATAAGCTTAAATCTTGAACACCCTTGAGTTTTTCTATGGCATCATCATAGTTTCCTCTGGGAAAAAATATAAACATATAATATATATATACACACACATCAATTTTTAAGAATTAGTATTTTCAAATTTGTTTTAATTTAATAAAAATAAATAATAAAAAAAAAAACATTCAACCTTTCAGACAACAATGTAGACATAGCCATGAAGACCAAAGCTTTGGAATCATCATTATCATGGGCTTGCCCTAAACACTGCTCAAGCACAAGCATACTTTCTCCGTACGAATCATCTAAAGTCCACAAACCCAATTATATTATTCTATTCTATTTTTGAATAACAAAAAGAAAGGAAATTTTACATTAATAAAACAAAAATAAAAAGAAAAAAGAGGGGGGAAATTCAAAAAGAGACCCGATTTGTGAGACCTGGCGTGAGAGAAAGCATAGTTGATCATCTGAAGAGAGACAGAGACATGGTTGCCGGTTGAGCCGCTGATTCCGTCGTGGAGAAATCTGGACGGCGGTGATCGCTCGAGAATTGACGGTCGAAGGTAGGTGGGACCCAGTCCCAGCTTCGCGGTGCGATGTACTAGTCTCGAAGTCAGTGCTCTTGAGAGATGCTTTGCTGCGGTGTTTAGCATCGTCGTCGTCGTTATTTGTTTTCTGTAAATAGAAAAACCCTCGATCGGTGCAGAAGGAAGGGTTTAGCTTGGCAGGCAGAACTAGATAGGAAAAATAAAATGGTGAGAGTGTTTTAGCCCAGCACCGCCACCGCCTGATCTTTGAATTTTTTTTTTTTTTTTTTACTTTTATTAGTTATTAACTTTTTTTTTTTATTATTATTAATGGTCCTCATGTTCACCTCGATTGCGTTTTATACGTGTCGGAGTTGATTTTTAATATTTTATTTTTTTATTGGTGTTTTTAAACTTTAAAGTTATTTTTAATTTATTTTTTAAATTTTAAAAATTTTTATTTTATTCTTTAAATTTTAAATTATTCTCACTTAATTTTTTTTATAATTTTTTGTTAAAATTAGACGAGAAAAAAGAGATTAAGTGTGGTCACGTGATTTTTATATATTTTATTTTAACAGAAATTTAAATAGAAAGATCACGTGACTACGTTATTCTCTTTTTTTTATCTATTTTTAACAGAAATTGCTACAAAAAAGATTAAGTGCAAATAAATTAAAATTTAGGAGCATTAGTGATAATATTCCTAAAGTTTTACTTTATTACAATTTAATCCTTATATTATCTAAGTGTTAAATATTTAACAGAATATGTGTAAATTAAGAACATAAATTAAAAATATATAAAATCTATAAATTAAAATAACACAAAAAAAAAAACAAATGTTGAATTGCGCAGTTTATAGTTAAATTTTAGTTATTTTCAATTTCGGTTCTAATTTACATAGACTATCAAATATTTAATAGTTAATTGATGAAATGATTGAAACTAAAAAAATTAAAACCTCATAAACTAACTGTGAGATATTTTAAAAATTAAGAATTAAAATGAGATTAACGGTAAACCTCCCCAACTACTTATGAGATTAACCCTTTTATTTCTGTTTATTATTATTATTATTTTGACAATATTAGTGAATATAGTAAAACTAGCCAACGATTTCTCAAAATTTTATAGAAGGACCCATGTTTCAGTTGCATAAGAATTAAAATTTTTACAAAAATAATTACATTAAAATAAAATATTCTCGTTATTGTTGTTTAAAACTCTTAACTAATAATAAATGCTATTGTCATAAAAATTATAATTAGTATAAGATTGGAATGAGATTATTTTTTAGAAATTTCAGTAGTCATAAATTGTCAAAAAAAAATTCAGTGAATAGTTTATCAAAATTAAAAGGTTTATAGGGACCAAAATGACATAAGAGTGATAATATTAATAACCCAAAACATATTGACTAACTAATTGAGTATGTGCAAAAAAGCGGTCGTTTTTTAATTTTTAATTTTTTTTACTAAATGATTGTTGTTTTGTAAAATTAGTAAAATGATCATTTTATATCAATTGGTTTATTATTGATCGAGTTGATAATAAATCAGGCTTAAGGTATGTTTATTTTAAGGGTTTTGCATAGTTTAAATCACAATTATTGATTATACTACAATATTTTTTTCTCACAAAAATTTTAAATTTCAAAAGTCGAAATCATAAACCAAATGGAGCCATAATGGTTGATCACTAAATGACCAATATAGTGATAAACAAATTTTAGCTAATGATTTATCGGTTTATCAATAATAAATCATTGGTAAATCCATAATAACAATGATATATCAATGGTTGACTGCTCTAAAAAAGAATTGCTTTTGAAAAAATGTTCGTCCATTTACCTAAAAACAAAAAAGTTCAGATTTTAATTCTAAAGGGAAGACCAAAATCGACCATCCAACAATTTTTCTTTTTTAATTTCTAATTTATATTTTTCCTTCAAAATATGGAGTTACTTTTTCTTATAAACTTAAAATACTAGATATATAAAATAAAATAAAATAAAAACTAACGTTCCTAGAAAAAAAAAAAAAAAAGCAAAAACCAACTAACGACATTAGCAAATACAAGATATAAAATTTTGGGGAGGAAGGGAAATGGCATAATTTTGATTTTGATAAAAATAAATAGCAGATTGAAAATAAACAACATAATTTTGGTGTATATGCATTTATTAGTTTTACTACGTAAAACCAAGAATACCCAATTTATGTCTCAAAAATTTAGTAAGGTCAAATACAATTGTCCAAAAGTTTTATGGCTACAATATCATTTGCCTCGTAAAGGTTGCGTTTCAACCCCATAATTTTTGAATATTTATAATTGGACCTCAATTTGAAAATCCTAGATCTATTAAGAATAAAGTGAAAATTACATAGCTTTTTTTTTTGTGAAATTGAAAATTACATAGCTTTACATATTAAAAAAAAGGGTAAAATTATAAAAACACAGCTTAAAAAAATAAAATATGATATTCATATTTATATTTGATAAATATGCTATTTATTCCCTACTTCCCTACACTTTCGTAAAAGTATGTATGTATATTAAAAACTAAAACAAATAGACAAGCAACTCATCTTTGTCAAGAGCAGCTTCTAAAAAAGCTAACGGCAATCTTAGAGATTATTTAATTTTTATTTTTACTTCCATCAACATGAGTCTTTAATTCTATCCTAAAAACAAATGTAAAGCATTAGAGTCTTGTAAAAAGATATTCTTACTTTAGATTTGTAGTGCGCTTTAGATTCAAAAGATCTTTATATAGGAACAGATGGACCTATGCTTCCTACTAGTATATTCATTCTTTGTATCTCAAAACAAACGTTATCCTTAAAAAAAAAAAAAAAAAAAAAAAAAAAAAAGAAATGTGCTTCAGGGACACAAAAGAAGATTTCATTCAATACCATAAAGAGAGAAGCATAATTATGTCTGCTCTTTTGGTGATGCTCTTGTTCTCTTGATACTTGTACTAACATCTAATTCACAAGAATAATAGAACTTGGCATTAATTTGTAGGCTTTTGCAAAAATGACTCAATAGGAAAGCTTTTATTAGTAAAATAATTTTTCAAAAATTTTAATTTGTAAAATGATTACGGAACAATTAGTAGATCAATTTTTACAAAAAAATGGCTTGGTAGTCGTTTTTCATAAAAAATAAAGAAAATTATTTTGTCAATTTCACTTTGCTTGATAGTGACTCTAGTAGATACAATGTTATCACATGGTCTCATTCATCTCACTCCCACTTCCCACTTGAAAGCACAACCTAGTACAAATATTCCGTAATATAGTTGCTCCTCCCATAAATTAAAAACAAGAAAATGCTTTTCCTTTTAGATATGACACTTTCCTCTCTCTTCCTTTTGTTTTGTTTTGTTTTTTGTTTTTGTGTTTTTTTTTTCCTTTTCGTGTTTTATAGTAAATAATGCTCTTAATACCTGTTCTAACATCTAATCTACAGGAATAAACTTGTCCTTACTTTGCTTATATAAATATGTGTATATATATAAATATATTTTCACATCACATGGTTTTTCTTTCATCTTACTCTTGCTTCCCACTTGAAAGATGCTGTGGGTCCTATAGATATCTCTTGTCCGCATCACAAAAGAGATTTCATTTCTTTTTTTGGGGCTACCACTGATATATGGATGTTTCTTATTTCATCTATAGCTTGATTCTAAATTTCTAGTTAGTGAGTTTTGATTAGTGCAAATAAAGAAAGCCTGCACTTGAAGTATAGCATATATGCGCTTTATAGTGAAAGTAAAAGCGAAAAGACCATAGCACAGACAAGAAAAAAGAAAAGAAAAAGAAGAGATCTGATGTAGCCGTTAAGAGGGTTCGTTGAATTTCTGTGTGTGAATCATACAGCTTAAAGAGCTTGCAGTTTGTCTCTTTCACTAAGTAAGAAGCATTCTCTGACAAAACACACTAAAATTAACTCTCACAAAACAATGCCAACTTCCTTATTTCTGTTCTCTTTTCTTCTCTGTCTATTATCCTCACTAAGCATTTCAGGTGAACTTTTATTTCTGTTTTTTTTTTTTTTAAAACTTTGCAGTGCATTGAATTACAAATTTACTTCTCTAAATTTGTGTGGATTGCAGATGGGGCACAACTCATTGTAGTAAACAACTGCCGGGAGAGCATATGGCCCGGAATACTAGGAAGCGCAGGCCAAGCCACCCCGAAGGACGGTGGATTCCACCTAGGCAGCGGGGAGGAAGTAGTCCTTGATGTGCCGGAGAAGTGGTCTGGCAGGATATGGGGCAGGCAGGGCTGTAACTTCGACAACAACGGGAAAGGCTCGTGTGTCACCGGAGATTGTTCGAACCAGTTACATTGCAACGGCAAGGGCGGGGTACCACCTGCCACGGTGGTGGAAATGACACTCGGCACTTCGAATTCACCCATGCATTTCTATGATGTGAGCTTGGTTGATGGGTTCAACTTGCCGGTTTCGATGAAGCCCGTTGGGGGTGGGATCGGGTGCGGGGTGGCGTCTTGTGAGGTTGACTTGAATGTATGCTGTCCTTCGGCATTAGAAGTGAAGAGTGAAGGCAAAGTTGTGGGCTGCAAGAGTGCATGCTTGGCAATGCAATCTGCCAAGTATTGCTGCACAGGGAACTATAGCAACCCGAATACTTGCAAGCCCACACTCTTTGCGAATCTCTTTAAGGCTATATGTCCAAAGGCGTATAGTTATGCTTTTGATGACTCAACTAGCCTTAACAAGTGCAGAGCTACTCGCTATGTCATCACTTTCTGCCCTCCTCAATAAGATCGGGAAAATCGGAATCCGGGGCTTTGTCATGGCTTTGCAAGGAAGTATGAGGCAATTACGAGATGAAACTTTTTATGTTTGTTGTTAATTGCTATGTTAGTGCTCTCTCTCTCTCTCTCTCTCTTGTCTTTATTAGTAAGTAGGATTTGAATATCTTATATGGTCTTATAGAAGCTTATGAAGAATTTGCCAAAGCACTGGATGGAAATAGTAGAGTGCTAGGATATGCAATGTCAAGTAGTCGAGTTTAATGGAAATTTGCTTTTAATGTCTCCAACCAATGTTGATTTTGGACCCTGAAGTAACCAATCTTATATTGTTCGAGTGACGGAACCTACGAAAACCGAACAAAGAAGAACATAAGTTTACATTAAATTCGAAGAGAATATTGCGGTGCAACACTGCGTTCAAAGACTCCAAAATTTTAAAAATCTAATTAACTGAAATAACCAGATCTCACGCACTGTTTCTAAGGGCAGCCTTTAGCTTCTTGTGAACTGAAGATGTTTTTGTCAGTTTCCTGGCTGAACAAAAAAAAAAAGAAAATTTCTTCATTGAAAAATCGAGAAGTGAACTTGTTTTCTTCCCATGCTAAAAGAATCAAGCATCTTTTTTTATAGATACCAATACTCTCCAAGAAGTATTTCTGAAAGATCAAAGGATTGGCTCTTCTAGTCTCATCCAAAAATCAAATATCTTCTATATGTAATCCCAATTTTTTTTATATGTTTAGAGAAATCTTGACAAATACCCTTAAAAATGTAAGAGTATTGATTTTTACCTCTTACTCTTGATTAATACCCTTTTTAATTAAATAACTATTAACAAATGGGTACTAATCAAGAGTAATGAGTAAAAATCTAAACCCATGTACTATATAAAAGGATATAAGTTCAGCAATTTTCTCATATGTTTATTTTTATTAGCACAGAAGGTACATATTAAACGGGACAGAGAAAGAAATCGTTTTTTGCTAGTGCCGTTTCTTAAGAAAAGTTGCAAATATAAAGAAACAAATATAACTAATAAGCAAAGTAAAATCAGTGTCCTTTTGCTAGTGGCCCTCTAGGCAAAGAATCTCAAACTAATATTTCAGATAAAAGTTCAGTGTGCTAAAAAACAAAAACTAACTAGAGATTGCCACTGAAACATCTTTGTATAAATTATGGCATCTTGATGATGTAAATCTTAATTGAGGGAAGAGAAAATATGGGTTCAATTACAGAGCAAGAAGATGACATACCTACTTATGCACCTTCTTTGCAAGTACCAAGTGTTCAAGAGATGGTCATGAAGGACCCTCTGCAGGTTCCTGAAAGATACATTAGGAATGAAGAGGAGATGCAAAAGAAACTAGACATGTTTCATCTTTCATCCCAAGTTCCAATTATTGATCTATCCTTGCTCTCGAAAGGGGACGAAGAGGAGCTCGTGAAACTTGACTTGGCTTGCAAGGAATGGGGATTTTTCAAGGTAATGTGGTGATTAATAATTCAATTAAATTCCGATTCAACAGTAAAGCCTGTCTGTAAGGACTTCTTCAACTGAATATTCTTTTTCAGGTGGTAAATCATGGAGTGGAAAGCGAAGTATTAAAGGCGATGAAGGACGCTACGGTTCAGTTCTTTGAGCTTCCTTTGGAAGAGAAGAACAAGATTTCAATGCCACCTGATGACATACAAGGCTATGGCCATGCATATGTGGTATCTGAAGATCAGATACTGGATTGGTCTGATGCACTTATTTTGCTCGTCTACCCTTCCCGGTTTAGGAAGCTTAGCATCTGGCCAACCGAGCCAAAGGGATTCAAGTATGCCCTTGACTTCAAAATTTTAAAAAATTAAGAGCACAGATATTCATCACCGTGCGTCACTAAAAAAGAACTGAGCATCTTTCGAAAATTAACTATACCGTTTATCACATTGACTAATATTATATTAGTACTACCAAATAAGTCTCACGTTATTATATGACAATACGTCTTACAACGACATAAACTATGCTTTTATATTAATATCGCTACTAATAGTATATAGCGCCTTTCAGTGTTTTATTTTTATTTTATTTTTACCCTTTTAATGTAGGGAAGCTATAGACGCCTATTCAACTGAACTCAAAAGGGTAGCACTGGAGCTGCTAGGTTCTCTATCTTTAGTCATGGGAATGGACAAAGGCTCTCTCCTTGAGCTGCATAAAGAGTTGTTGCAGGGCATACGCGTGAACTACTATCCCCCTTGTCGCATGGCAGATAAAGTGCTGGGAATTAGTCCACATTCAGACACAAGCACCATAACCATACTCATGCAAGATGACGACGTCACAGGGTTAGAGATTCGACACCAAGAAGGATGGGTGCCGGTTAAGCCAGTTCCAAATGCTTTGGTTGTCAATGTCGGCGATGTCATGGAGGTACTTTTAACTTTACAACTTGTTTGATGATTGAGCAAATCTTTTGTTAGAAATTCCAATTTATGTTGTTCTTTTTTGTGTGCCAGATACTGAGTAATGGCAAGTACAAGAGCATAGAACACAGAGCTGTGACAAACGAGAGAAAGACAAGATTATCTTATGCAACATTTTTCATTCCAAGAGATGAAGTGGAAATTGGACCACTTGATCACATGATAGAGTCACAAGGTTCTCTTCCCATGAACAAGAAAGTCAAATATGGAGAATATGTAAGGCAGTCCATGAAGATGAAACATGATGGAAAGGCCCACACCCAGATGGCAAAGACTTGAAAGTTCTATAGAAAATTCTCTGTTTTCAGATATGACCCTTGTCTGCTTTTCTGGTTTTGTGACATAAAAATAAAATTCAGCTTTGTTTTGGTTTCTACTCCCTCAGACTTACGCATATAATATTCCCTATCAACTATGATTATCAATAGATTTCTTATTCAATCAATAGATTTCTTATTCAAGTAAAAGAATCATGAGTGACAAATATAAACTGTGGCAGATTGCAAGATCTCAGACCAGTACATAGTTTTTGGTGCCCCCTCGATTTTTCGAATTTTTACAACTTTTGCACTAAACTTTTAACTTTGGCACTTTACACCCTTAACTTGCAAAACCTTTGCAACATGCCCCACTTTATTAATGACCGTTAAATTAGCGGAAGGAAAAAAAAAAGCCAATAGTTGCGCCACGTGAGCACGGAAAAGTGCATATCTAACTAATAATCCAAAAATCTCAGTTCAAACCCTAACACAAATCACTCTAATCTCCAAATCAACCCCCAAATCCAACACATGAATGTAAAATGGGGCACCTTGCAACCATTTAGCAAGTTGAGGGATTAAGTATCAAACTCAAAAGTTTAAGAGGCAAGTTGTCAAAACCCATAAAGTTCAGGGGCCAAGAGTGCTAATATTAAACTTTAGCCACACACGTTGAAGTAGCTAAATCCTTTCTCCAAACTAACGAAAATTGCCATCAGACATCAATATTCTTTCATAAAAAAGGAACAAGGGATTCAGAAAGAAACAACAGGAAATGCTTACATATTTCAAAAACGCAAAAAAATCATGACACAGCTAAAAAAAAAATTTGTACTTAACAAGATATAGCATCAAGTGCTTTGGTTCTGAGTTTGGACACTTAATAAGGTTCGGATGTGAAATTAAAAATTAGAGGTTCTAAATAGGCCATTTTCTTCCAGAAACAGTTGTTGACTATGCAGCCTTTGCTGTAATGTTGGCAAAATGTTCTTAGATATCCCAAAAGAACATAGAAAATTAGACATCGATCTGTGAACTGCGTAAGACAATAAATCATCAAGACAATGAATTAGACTCCACAACTTAACATAAATAAAAAATAGACAAGAGCAACATTTTTGCCAATGAAACAATTACATGGTATTGACAGAGTCGGTCAAACAGTTTAAGAACCATAAAAATTACATATTAAAAAGAGAAAACAGAAAAATGTTTTTGTCCCTTGCCGTTTCCAAAGAAAAGTTGCAAACATAAAAAAACAAAGAAATTATAAACAAAATAGAGCCAGTGTCCTTGTGCTAGTGTCCCTCTAGGCACAACCTAAGTAACAAGTGTTCTAGGCACAAAGAATCTCAAACTATGAGTGCTAAAAGTTCATCTTTGCCAAAGAGACAAAACTATAACTAACTCAATCATTTCTGTATCATCTTTGCCAAAGAGACAAAACTATAACTAACTCAATCATTTCTGTATCATCTTTGCCAAAGAGACAAAACTATAACTAACTCAATCATTTCTGTATCATCTTTGCCAAAGAGACAAAACTATAACTAACTCAATCATTTCTGTATAAATTCCTTGGCGTTTGATGTTGTAAATCCAAATTGAGGGGAGAAAAAATATGGGTTCAATCACTGAACAAGAGGAAGATATACCAAGTTACGCATCTTCTTTGCCTGTACCAAATGTTCAAGAGATGGTCATTAAGGACCCTCTTCAGGTTTCTGAAAGATACATTAGGAATGAACAGGAGATGCAAAATAACTAAACATGTCTCATCTCTCATCTGAAGTTCCTGTTATTAATTTATCCTTGCTCTCAAAAGGGAACAAAGAGGAGCTTATGAAACTGGACTTGGCTTGCAAAGAATGGGGATTTTTCCAGGTAATATATATATTATATATATAGACGAGTTTATGCACGAACACACACACATATGTATGGTGTTACTTTCCTTGTATCTGAATTTTTAGAATAGAAAACAAATGCCAAAATGGATTTAAACTAAGGCTGCTCACAAGGACTGATAAACCGGAAAGTACTGATTTGCAGGTGGTGAATCACGGAGTGGAAAGCTAAGTATTGCAGGCGATTAAGAATGCTTCCGCTGAGTTCTTTGCACTTCCATTAGAAGAGAAGAACAATATTTCAATGCCACCTGATGACGTACAAGGATATGGCCATGCTTACGTCGTATCCGAAGAGCAGACGCTGGATTGGTCGGATGCACTAATGATGCTTGTCTACCCTTCCCGGTTTAGGAAGCTTAGGTTCTGGCCAACGGAACCAAAGGGATACAAGTATGCCTCTAATTTCAATTCTCAAAATATACTTTCACAAATTCCACTATTATCGATTTAACAAGTCTCATATTGTTATGTGACAGTACAGTTTCGCTTATTAATATATAACCTGCTATTGTTCTATGGTAGTGATTTTAAGTAATATTTAATGTGTTTGTTTATTATGTCCATACTAACATAGGCAAACAATTGAGACCTATTCAACTGAAGTGAAAAAAGTAGCAGTGGAGCTGCTAGGTTCTCTATCTTTGATAATGGGAATGGAGAAGGGTGCTCTACTTGAGCTGCATAAAGAGTTGGGTCAGGCTTTGCGCGTGAACTACTATCCTCCATGTCGAATGCCTGATAGCGTGCTAGGAATAAGTCCCCACTCGGACGCAGGCACCATAACCATACTCATGCAAGAAGACGATGTGGTCGGCTTACAAATTCTCCACCGAGGAGGATGGGTGCCAGTCAATCCACTTCCAAATTCTTTGGTTGTCAATGTCGGTGACATCATTGAGGTACTACAACATTAGTTTACGGATTCAGAATCATGATTTCGAACCATTCTCGGTTTATCTGTGTTTTTTGTGAGAGAAAACACTGTAGCGAGTCACGAACCATGATTCGAACCATGACACGAATCCTCATACCAAAACACCCTATAAGAGTTCCGAGTCATTGATGATTATGTAATTTTCTTTTGTGAGATCCAACTTCTGTTGTCGCTTCGGCAGATATTGAGCAATGGCAAGTACAAAAAGTATAGAGCACAGAGCTGTGACAAACCACAACAAAACAAGGTTATCTTACGCGACATTTTTTGTTCCCCGTGATGAGGTGGAAATTGAACCGCTACGTCATATTATAGATTCACAAGGGTCTCTTCCCATGTACAAGAAGGTCAGATATGGAGACTATCTAAGGCAGTCCATGAAGATGAAACATGACGGAAAGGATCACACCCACATGGCAAAGATTGAAAGTCAATAGAAATTTCCAATCATAATGAAGGAATGCAGTTGTCTTTTCTGTTATGACCCCTGCAGTTTGCATTGTTAGGTGATGTGAAAATAAAAAGGACTATTTTTATTTTTGTTTGGGCAATTTTGCTAATGTACTCTAATTTATGTCGTTAAATTGAAGATGGAATTAATAAAGCGACCCCTCCTAAATAATACCCTCAAAAAAAAAAAAAAAAAAAAAAAAAAAAAAAAAGCCCCCCTTTTAAAACGGGGCCTTTGAAGGTTTTTCTGCCACTTCTGTTCACAATTAACCTTGAAGACTAGGGGAAAAAAAATCCCTTGACGCCTAAGAAACTAAAAAGCTTTCAATTACCCTCCATCTAAGAGCCAAATCATCGAAAATTGCCCAAAACAGAGCAACATTCAAGACAACAGAGTGTTTCATTTTGACCCTCAAAAGGGCAACAAAATAACGAGTGACTTGGTTGCAAAAATAAAACTAGTCCAAAAATGAAATCTGGGCTTGACTTCGGTTTTCTACATTCTGTCCAGCAAATCACATTGCCTTTTTGACAATGTTAATCAATAAATCCCACTTTCAACCAAAAGAATCCAAATAATCGTAAGTACTAAAGACAAATGCAAAGAGCAACAGATTGGTAGATAGCAGAGCTAGTAAAAGCATATGCATTACAGACTTTCAGATGAATACAAAACGAGTCATAATTACAAATCAAAATTATATAGCCTTGATCCAACTGATACCAGGCTAAGGCTCTACTTTATCACTAAGTGACGATATATAATTATATTGAGACAAGAAGAGCAAATAATACACTGCTGGGAAACCACCTCACACCTTTTGATACATACGAGCCCCATAATGAAACAAGTGACATAAAAGCGCACAACTAAAACCGTTTAATATCTCAAATTACTAAAAAAGAAAAAAAGAAAAAAAAATGCCTACTTACTTCATACAGATAAACCCAAAACAACGTTACTGCTTTCCCTCCGAGACACCATTATTATTAGCATCTTTTGTAACACTAGAACTATGTTGAATATCTGCAGCCCCAGGTGCAGGACCGGCACCTAGAAGCAGTGGAGTGGCTTTTTTGTCAGTATCAGGAGTTTTATTAGTTGAAGGACTTGCCGCCCAAGCTCGAAGAGGAGGCTCGAAATGCTTGCTGACAACGTCAGGAGGAGGTGCATCTTCCCCGGGAAGAAGAAGAAGCCCCTTCTCATGAAGAGAAGATGGCTCGTTATAGCAAGTCTTCCAGAGGGAATCCACAAGTTGCCGCTCTTCTCTTGCTACCCCAAGATCTTCAGCCGACATCAGACTGATATTGTCGATTCTCTCTTTAAGGAGCTGCTTCAGTTTCTCATCATCTTCAACCAATCCACCACTCTTGCCATCTGTTTTGTCTCGAGCAAGCTCAAGAAGGCCGCGAAGAGCGGCTTCTCGTACCTCCGCGTCATCACTGGAGGCTAGGTGCAACATTATACGAGGAAATCCAAGTTCGCTAACTACATTGCAGTCTGAAGTATTTTCATGCAGCAGATATTGGATCAAGTTCAAGGCTTTCCTAAAAATGGTTAATTATAGGAAGCAGGAACACATAAGTACTCAAGGTCCTTATAAAAATACCAAACTACACAATAATATAAGAAACAAAATTTCTTAATTCACAGCAGTACCTCTGAAATCTCACGCTTTCAGAACTTAGAGCGTCTTTCAAAGCTCCGTACCCATTTGCGAGACGAAATGCAGTGATAGCAGGTTTGTTGTGCCGGATTAAAGCTGAAGATCATTCCATTAAAAAGAAGAGAGTACATCAATATTCCACCCAAAACCAACAATAGGGGTTTTCAAAACTAACAGCGCATGCACTTATTTTTTTTAACAAAGCACACAATTCATCACAGAACTAAAAGCTGTACATACATGATATGGTGCCAAGGGCTTTGGTTCGGACAGTCACATCAGGGTCCGACGTAAAATTAGAAATGAGAGGATCTAAGCCATTTGCTTCCATAACCAGTTGTTGACTACGTGGATTGTTCTGGACAATTGTCGTCACGACATCGGCAGCCTTCGCTCTAATATTGGCATGAGAGTTCTTAAGGTATCCAAGGAGAGGGACCAAACCACCAATGGAGTGAAGGTCTGTTAATATAGTGTATGAAGAAGTATAAGAAAAGCCCAACAATGCAACCATAAAGAATGACGTGATGTTACAGAATTTGGTCTCAAACTCCATAGCTAATGACATTAACACACACAAGTAAAAAATATACGATTTCTTGAGGTAGCCACCAAAATCCAAAATCACCATGCGACATCAAAAGCACAAGCTAATAACCACAAAAATGTGGCCCCATTCATTTCACCGATTTGAGTTTAAAATTCGAGTTTTGCTACAGTAAAAAGTTTTCAGAAACAGTCACATCTAACTGTTTTGCTACAGTAAAAAGCTCTCACATAAAGTCACATCTCAACTCGAATTAAAAATTCAAATCAACGAACTAAATGGGCCATATAGATCTGAAAAAAAAGGAGCAGCAACAAGAAAACAAAACTGTAAAAGCATTTATCATTGGCCATGTCAATACATTCCATATAACCATGCACCATCAAAACCAGAGGTCCATAACCATACGATGAAGAAAGCATAAAAGAAAATCAAAATAGGGGACAAAAAATGAAATGCTTTATTTCACATTCAGAAAAGTAACAGCAAAGTTATTAAGGAAATTACCATTGGCCATATCAATAGACTCAACATGCTCTTGTAACTCGTCCAACATACCTGCCAAAACCCACTTCAGAAATTAATCACTAATATTAAAACTAATGAAGGAGAGCTTAAAAACCTAAAGTAAAATTTAAACTTCTGAAAAAAAAAAAAACCTTCAATATCATCAGCAGTGACTCCCTGAGCTTCCAAAACACTTTGAGGAGTCTGCATTACAAGTGTAATTTCCTTCATTCGCTTTATCACATCAACACTCTGCGCTTGCATAGCTTCCATAAACCATCTCCTATCCTCTTCACTATAATCACCGACAAACAAAAAACGAATCGAAACATCAATCAAATTCTTAATCCCATAAAACTAATTACTCGATAATCATAGTTTTAACGAAAATCAATAGAAATACCTCAAATTACGAGGGGGACGAGTACCATCAGAATGACCGATGCTCCACTTGAGCAATCCTTCCCAGTCCGGTCCTCCATCAGCCATTTTTTTTTTGGGCTCAAATATGAAGCAAGAAAACCCTAATTTTGTGTTCTCCGAGATAAAAACAAACGAAGAAACCAGAGATTTTAGAGAATACGCGGTTTTAGAGCAAACGAGTTATATAAAGGTGAAAGCCTTGGAGAAGGTTCTTGTCAGATCTGGAATATAATGGAGATGAGAAATAATACTCTGGACTGCTCCCACCTTCAACACGGAGTTAATTTTGGGCTTGGTTTAAAAGGTTTTTGGGGGCCCAATAATTTTGGTTTAGGCCTTAGGGAAAAGGAGGTAAATAGGGCATTTTTAGGGAGAATAAAAATAAATAGCTTTTTTTTTTTGTAAATAAAAATAAATAGCTGAATTTTAGAAAAATAGGAGAATTATTTTTAAAATTTGAAATTTCAAAAATTCTCAAAATACCCTTACTGCCTCCTTCTTTCCTCATGGCCTAAAAAAATAGTGAGTTCTGTTACAAACCAGATCTAATCATAATGTCTAAACTAAATGTCGTTGAGAACTCCCATGACGTATAAAATTTTTAAATCCGTCATGACATTAAGGAAGTTCACAATCATAGTCGCGGGCTCATAGGTAAATCACCACTTTGTCGTGACCTCTTCGGTTGTCTTCCCATCAGTGCACTCGTCTTCTCGAGTGTGGGGGCAGGAGAACATTCAAGATATAGGGTGATTTTTAGGAATTTGAGTTACTTTAGGGGTTTTTTTGAACGTTTAACTCTGTGAAATTAATAAATATCGGGTAGAAATGTATTTTTTTAAATAGGTAATATAGAGTTAAAGTAAATAAATTAGTAAGTAGAAAATGAATAATATATTTACTTGTTAAATAATGAATTTGGTAGGGAAATAAATTGGTAAGTATTAAAAAAAAATTGGTAAATATTGAGAAATTAAGAGATTTATTAGTTAAATGACGTTAATATCCAATGTCTGTCCTCATAGCTTCATCATTCAAACGAGTAATTCCGTAATCACCCATCGTGGTCGTCCTTTGCTTGCGCCTTTGTTGTCTTCTTGATGATTGTGGTCCCCACCTTGCCTCTTAACGATTGTTGTCCCTCCCTAAGCCCCAGCGTTATTGACAATTAACATCCTTTTCTCGGACAATATACTAAAATGATTATCTAATAAAATAAAATAAATAAAATGATCTTTTTTATTTTTTATGAAGAAAAATTACTTAATATTTTTTATAAAAAGTAATCATTTTATAAATAAAAATTTTTAAAAAATTATTTTATTAATAAAATTTTTTTATTGAGTTATTTTTACAAAGTCCTCCTTCTGTGGGCCCCGGTGTCCTTTAACCCTACTCACATTTCATTCTATTACAATTTAAGATCAGAATCTCTTATAGGATCTCCGTCTTACTTGCCATTTTCGGCTAAGTTGATTTTTATTTATAGAGTTTTTTTTTTTTTTTTTTTTTTTTGTAATAGTAAGACTCAATTATATTTTTTAAGTTAAAATATTTTTAAATTATTATCACTAATATTCCCTAAACGTGTCATTTTCAGTTTGCCACTTAAACTTTAAAAACTCTCATTTTACTTTCTGAACTTTAAATTGTTTTTGTTTAACCCTTTCTATAACAATTTCTGTTAAGAACATATAAAAAATAACGCAATCACGTGGTCTTTTTGTTTGAATTTCTATTAAAAAGAAACAAATAAAAACTACACGATCACACTTAACCTCTCTTTTTTCGTCTCATTTTAACAGAAATTGTAAGAAAATGGGTTAAGTAAGAACAATTCAAAGTTTATGAGACAAAGTGAGAGTTTTTAAAATTAAGAAGTCAAACTGAGAATGACCTCAAAACTCAGAGGGCATTAATGAGAATAATCCAAAATCTTTTTTAGGAGATTTTATAGCCTTGAGTAACTTGTCCAATTTTGTACTAGTAATTTATATTTAGACGGAGTTAATTGATACTCTCCTTACTAGTGAATCTTATTTATTCACAGAATCGTTGATGTAGACACGTTGTCGAAGCATATTAAATTTTTGTGTTTTTTTTTTTTTTTTTTTTTACTTGAGACTTTTTCTAGTAGAGCTTTCCTACTAGGAAGATCAATTTATAACTGTTAGATATGATTAAAATGACATTAAATTAAAAAAATATATGCAGAACATACAGTTTTTGAAATAGATTTAACAAATGAAAGTAGAAAATTACTAGTAATTCACTTTTTGAGAAAATCCCTTTCTTTTTTACTTCTTCAAATTTTCCGTTTAGTTTGATGATTTGAGTTTTTAATTCGAGTTAAGATGTGACTTTATATAAGAGTATTTTACTATAGTAAAAAAAAATTAAATGTGACTGTTTCTAAAAGTTTTTTACTATAACAAAACTCGAATTTTAAACTTAAATTGGTGAAATGAGCGAGGCCTAATAAGTGCGGTGTTGAGTTTACACAAGGACAATATTGACTTTTGATGATGACTGATGGCAACATTGCTGATAGCCTTCGGCGGATGGTATCCAAAACAAACACATTTCTGGATGTGGATGCAAATTCAAAAATTTCATGCACAGGGGAAGATTTTCATTCATGTGGCTGTGAAAAGATGGTCGACACACTTTTGGATATTGATGCAAATTAAAAAATAAAAATAAAAAAATCTCACAGTAGAAGATTTTCACTTCTTATCTGTTTCCAAATTTGGATGCTGAATCAGTGATTTGTTTATGCAGACTAGTTTTGGAAACAAACACAAAACATTATTCACAGTAATTGGATCGTTGTGGCTCTTCCTTGAAGATAATTGGTTATATTTTTTCTCCCATTTATTCAGCACAATAATATCAAATTGGCCTCTTTTACTTTGATTCGTTTAGCGTTAACAAATATCCCGTCAGGCTTTGGCATGTAAATTTTTCAGTTTAGTAAACATGCAAATACTGGTAATACTAAAAGAAGAGAAAATTGTTCAATTTACTCTTAAAGTGGATTGATTTAAATTTTATTATTTATTTTTAATTAATATTTTTGACGCTATTTGACTAAAAATATCATTAATTAAGAACAAATAATAAAAATTCAGATTCAAATACTCTAAATTATATTTATCTCATTTTCTCTAATAATAATAATATTATTAAACTCTCTGATAGAAAGATCCTAGATTTACCTTCTCTGCTTTTCCTTGTAGATTGTAGTCTGGCTATTCCAACTGAACTCACTAATGATTTGACACAACTTGGAAGTTATGGGGAGTAAGGTTGGTAATTCGTATTATATGTCGTGTTTTAATCATTTCTTTTTAAATTTACAGTCAATCCAAATACGACCCGTAATATAAAATTTTTTAAAAACTGCAACACGATCAATTTACAGTTTGACACGACACAACACGAAAATGACATGTGAACCTAAAATTGACACGAAAGTTATATACTTTTATTTAGTTTTTTACATATTAGAAATAACTTAAAATTCATAACACACTAAAATACAATAACATCCATTGAAATTAAGTAAATAATAGTATAAAATTTTGAATATAACTATCATGATATCACAAGTTCATAATAAAATAAAAATATATGTAATGAAAAATATATGTATTTTTTAATTTTTTACGAGTTTCATGTCGTGTTCGGGTTAGGCGGGTCCAACCTGAAATTGACTCGTATTTTTCGTGTCAATTTCAGGTCGACTCAATTCTGACCCAAATCTCTTTTTTCTCAACTATAACCCGTAAAATTTGTATTATTTTCGAATCGTGTTATCGTATCGTGATCCCGATCTTAATGGAGTGAGATCCTGGCTCAATATAAGCCAGTAAAGTTATTGGGACCCAATCTTATCTGCTTGAACTCACAGGAATCTTGAAATCTGACGTGGCCCTTATCCATTTAGTAGTAACCGGGTCCATGAATTCTACAAGTCATATAACACAAGGCGTGTATTTCTTTTAACCAACCAAACCCCTGCTTAATTAATTCTATCCCATTTTTCCACTGTCTTAGGAAACTTGAACATTTTTTTATTTTTTATTTTTTTGCCCTTCAGATCACTTAAAGATGGCATCAATGTCGACTTCTCTGCAGACCATTTTATCAGCAAATTCAGTGAAGCAATCAGCACTAGTCGTAAAGCCGTCAAGCTCAACTCTTCTAATTACGTGGAACAAGAGAGAGAAGAATGAGAAGAAGAGGCCTCTGACCGTTGTTGCTGCCGTCGGAGACGTGTCGGCCGACGGCACAAATTACCTGATCGCCGGAGCAGCCGCGGTGGCTCTCCTTGGAACCGCCTTCCCTATCCTCTTCACCCGGAAGGACACGTAAATTATATTACCCGGCCTCTTTCTTATTTGCGTAATTAATGGAATTTCCTCTTGTGGTTTTTTTGTTCCTATTGTTGGAATTTTTATGCGTGAAACTTGCATAATTTATTCTACTTACACTAAAACGTGTTATGAGTAATTTAATTAATTATAATGTATGGTATTGTATATTGATATGACCATAATGCGATGACTAGTATTTTAACCGATCTCTATTCGAAACAAAATTTAAGGAAATGATATTGTCGCCTGAAGAACTTCAATATGTTACGAGTAGGCAAGTTTTTTACATCATAACGTATAAACAAAAATCCACTTTGAGAAAATAATACTAAGTTCATGAAGTTTGACTTTAAAACAATAATTCTACATCCGTATAACATGACACCTATAATTTCATAATGTTCATGATAAATTTTTTCATGATTTCGGTTTTTTTTTTTTTTTTTTTTTTTTTTTTGGCAACAAGTAAAGCTTATTAGGAACGTATTTATGGAAATATTTTTGTGCGTTTGATGTGCTTTGTTACAGATGTCCGGATTGTGATGGAGCAGGATTTATTCGGAAGGCAGGAGTGACCTTGAGAGCAAATGCTGCAAGGAAAGATCAAGCTCAAATTGTTTGTCCCAATTGCAATGGCCTTGGCAAGCTCAATCAAATCGATAAGTAAATAAATAAAATCAACAACACCCCTTTTTCCCTTTCACCGCTCTCTCTCTTTCTAATGCAATTTCAGTTACATTCCTCTTTGTCATAAGAAAGTGTTGTATTATATAGGACTGGTTAGTTCATTAATTCGAGTTTTTAATTCGAGTTGAGATATAACTTTATGTGAGTTTTTTACTGTAACAAAACTCGAATTTTAAACTCGAATCGGTGAAATAAACATAATCATAATATTAATTTCTTTAGTGATCTTTATTCTCGAGATAATCAATGTTATATAATGCGGTCAGTTATTATTCCCACTTAATAAAAATAAGAATTCATTCATGATGAACTATGTATGTGCGTTGTTGTAAGTGTGAAACACACTGATGACATTAGATGATTTATCTTGTTTTATAAAATTAATAAAAATTAAGGAATAACAAAAGGTAACTAATTTCGGATTATTGAATGGTTTAGGTGATTTTTTACATTTTAAATTTACTACCGAAAAGAATGTGCAGTAAAAAAATTAAATTTAAATTTTTATAAGAGAAAATAGTATAGAAATATGACTTAAATCATAAAATGAATAAGGCCTGAATTCTTCCAAGTATCCACTATCCTTCTACAATGCTAAACTGGAAAGCGGAGAAAAATCATCCTCGTTTCTTAGATGATATGGTTGCGCCTTAACCCTGAAATTTAACAGTAAGAAGGGCTTTATATAGATCCTCTGAAAGAAACCAAAGCAATTCAAGACATCGAAAAATTTCATCCACTTTGGTGGAATGAATGCAAACTAGAAAATCTTGTTACCTTTCCCAATCACTATTCAACAACGAGTGTCGGTTATGCAATGGGATTTGAAGCGGGGCCATGACGAGGAAAAGTGTTGTGCCACCATCTGACTCTAGAAAGGGTGTTGCACGGCTCTTAGGTGGGTGTGGAGTAGTGCTGAAACTTTGGACGGACTGCTTATGACCACTGAAAAGTCTGAATTTTTGCCCGATGACCGAATCCGATCTGCCCAAAAATTCGGGCTGCCCGACCCGACCCAAAAATTCACATGGATGGGCTTCGGGCAGAGGAAGCCTGCCCGTGCCCGGTCGGGCTGCCCGATACCCGACCGGCTGCCTGAAATTTTTTTTTTATATTATATTTTTATGTTGTTGAAATAAGTATTTGTATAATTACAATGTGTAATTGTGTATATTACAATTTGAAATATGAAATGAACACACGACACGAACGAGCTATATAAAAAATTACTTCTTCATTGATTTTTAAATTTGTAATTCATGATTGCCTCATTAAAAACCTTACCAAGAAAAACCTAATTGGGATAAAAACTTGGTAAGGAAAAAAGAGTGCAATCATTGTGGGACGAATTACAAATTTGATGAACTTACAAAGTCTATACAAGATTACAAATTACAATAAACACTATACAAATTAGAAATTACAAAGTAAATAAATATTTACAAAGAAATTATCAAGATGAAGCAGAAGGCTCATCTTGAAAATTAAAAGTTAATCTATTAAATTCGTCGATCCATTCTTGGTTTGCCGGTGAGATTGTATCGTGTAAGCGTTGGTC